ACCTCCATTTAAAAAATGAATAAACCTAATTACCCCCCCAAAAAAACAAGCAAAAAAACCCCCCCAAAACTTAAGCCCTATAACCCTATAGGTAGATACTATTGCCATCTCTAATTTTTGGATGGGGACACGGGGGCTCAGAGAGGTTGAATCACTTGCCCAAGGTCATGGAAATTGATGATAACAGGTGGTAGAGCTAGGATTCAAACCTGGGCTGTGTGTCTTCTCAATCTGTGCCGTCACTACAGCTCCACAGTGCCTCTCTCTGTAACTGTTCTCTGATCTAACGCAATCCTGGAACTTTATGTTTTCTCCATGAACCTCTTGCCTTTGCTTCTTACCGCCTCCACCTGGGAACCCACACTGCCTTACTTCACTTACCCTCTTGCAACTTGTCCCTTTATTCTTCTGCCAAAGCTCCCAGCAATTCCTCAGCCTTGCATTAGTCCAGCTTTCTGCCTCCTCCATGTTTGCGCCCAAACCGCTAAGCCTCGTAGGTGAAAAGAAAATCACCAGCTGGGCAGCACGGGCCATCTGTGCATCCCTGTCTCTGGTGTGACTCGGTCGCTCAGTGCTCCGGGCCACCTCCCCCTTCCTAGTCGGTGCTCATCACCCCCATCACTGTGCCTGCACCTCTTCCTGGGGGCACTCAAGCCTCTCCTTACAACAAAACAAACCCTCATCTCCCTCACACCTGCGTCCATTTAACCTCCCCACTTCTTGAGAGCGCTATCTACACTCCCTACTTTACCTCCTCTTCAAAGGTCAATCCACTCCCATCCGGATTCTGCACCACACTGCAAATCTGCTCCTCTGCTCGCTCCAAGGCCACCAGCCTTGCTAAATTCCTCCTTGCTAAATTCCATGAAGACCATCCAATCCTTAGTGAACCTGACCTCTCCACAACTTTGGCCCCACTGAACCCTCCACCGGGAAACATTCTCTTCCTCTTAGAAACAGGCTCCTTAAACTTCATCTTCTCCCACAGAGCCCAGACTTCCAGCCAGACACCGGGGCTCCATCCTTGCTCCTCCTCCTCCCTCAGGCTTTCCTCCCCACATTTCCAGTCACCAGGCCCTGCAGATTCTTCCCTCCTGCTGTCTCTAGAACCCACCCCCTCTTCTCTAGTCTCACTGCTACCCCAGTCCACTCCCCTCCTCCAGCTCTCCCTACTGAAACCTCTCCTGAGCTCTCCAGTTTGCTAGAGTGGAGCTGAACTCACCAGGTGTGGTCGGGTGACCGTGCTGCTCCTGTTACCTTTACCTTCACCTGACTACTTCTGGCTCAACCGTCAGAGCGCAGCTGGCATGTCACTTCCTTCAGGAAGCCTTCCTTTTCCCTCGGTGATTGCTAACTCCTGTGTCCAGGTCTGCATTCCCCCACTGGTCTACCCTGAGGACCAGGACCACCCTGCTTGTTGCCTGAGTCTCCCCAGGTGCCCAGGGAATATTGGCTAAACCAATGGTTCAGGTCAGAGGGGCCGCCGACGGGTCTCTGGCCTTCCTGCCTGCATCTGCCTCTTGGTTTTGAAGTCGCTCTGTGCCCACTTCTCTCTGATTCCCTCCTTACCTTGGGCCTTGGGATGGTGTGATGGGCAGCTGGTGGGGACTGGAGGTGGAGTCTAGGGCAGATTCTTACTGAGTTAAAGAAAGGGGAGGGATCAGAGTAGAGCAGGGGGGCCCAAGGCAGCCTCTCCATGCTCCATGCTGTGTGTCCCCTCTCTGTGGTTCTCATCTCTTTTTAGAGAACTATGCTGAAGGCTACAGGTCCCGGACCTGTTGTCTGGGCACTACTCCGTTCCTCTGGGGTTTAGGGCTGGATGTAGTATCTCCTCCCATCTTAAAGCTACCCTCCCATTCTCTCCCCTCTGGTTTCATCCCCTTGCCCTCCTCCAGCCTCCTCCTCTCGTGTAGCTTGCGCTTGCCTGAGCTTGCGCTTGCCTGAGCCGGTCCAGCGGACACTTCTCTGCCCGTCCTGCCCCAGTGGGGGCAGGATCCCTCGAGACCCTGGCAGCCGGCGGGGCTGGGTGGGGAGGCGGGGCGGCCGCTGGTCCCCCTCACTCACCCAGGTGGTGGCTTGGAGATCCCAGGCTTGGCGGGTGGGCGGGGGCGCGGGGGTGCAAGGGAGCAGCCCCCAGGAGGGGACTGCAGCTAGCTGCGCCGGTTCGGGGCACCACTCCCAGCGTCGTCGTTGCGGCCCCTCGGCTCCTCTTTGACCCCAGGAGGGGAGGCGTTTCCAAATCTCTTCTCTCCGGTTCTGGCTCCGCACCGCCCTTCTCCCCTCCGCGCCTCTAGATTTCGCGCTTTTCAAGCACCTGGCAATGAACTCCCAGCCGCCCACACGCTCTCCAGGCGGGACTTCGTGAGTCCAGGATGGATACATTGCCACTCGCTCTTGAGTTGGGGCGGGGGGTGCGGGGTGTAGGTCGCACTGGCTCTGCCTTAAGTCTCTAGTGGATTCCCCACCCTGGGGGGAGGGGCAGAGCTATGGGGGCAGGAAAAATTTTCCAGGGACTGGGCTTGTTTCCAGCACCCTTTCTCCAATCACCCTTCACCAATCCTGTACCTTCGAAAGAGGTGTGGCCACGAGCCCCTTATACAGCTCCTGGTGGGATTTGGTGGGACTTGCAAGGGTTTATTTGCGGGTGGAATGTGGGGAGGGAGCGCTGGACGTGTGGCTCACCTCCAGGCTGGACTGTGGTGGAGAGGAGCGGGTGGGAGTCTGAGGTGCTGACTTTCCAGGACCTGAAGGAGTTCAGCTGGAGGAGCATCTCCTCCAACCTCCTTCTTCATTCATTCACTTGACCATTCATAAACCTGCCCAGATGTGAACCATGTGCCAGGCAACCTTCATCCTGACAGTGGCCCTGGGAGAGACCACTCATCCTCCACCTACAGATGAAGAAACTGAGGCTCAAGGCTCCACAGTCTCTTGCCCAGCCCCCGGAGGGAAGAACCAGGATGTGTCTTATCCCCAGACTCCAGTTCCAGCCTGGTCAGCCTGCCAGGTTGGCCCAGTGGGGATATGACTTTCAGGGGGCTGCCTGAACCAAGCACTCCCCACCTTTGGAGTGTTCTCAGCACCCAGCCTGAGGCTGGCCAGGCACACTGCAGTTGAGGTCAGAACAGGGCTGTTGTACAGAACTGAACAGACTGCTGAAGGAGCTGGTCCAATGACCTGTCTTGTCCCATGTTATTGTTGATGGTGATGTTGAGGGAAAGGAGAAGGGGCAGGGAGCAGGCAGGAGGGAGGTGGAGAGGAGGGAAATGCAAGGAGGGGGAATCTGGCTTTCCCAGGGCTGGAGGAAACAAAGACTCCCCAACCCATCGGCATTTGTCAAGCTGAGTCCTTTCATGGAGGTCTGTCCCACTGTGGTCAGGGAGTTGGTCCCTGTGGCCTGTGTGGAGGGTGGCAGAGGGTAGAGCCTTGGATAGGGAGAGAGATGAGGCCTGGATGCAAGGTCTGGCTCCACAACCTCTCACTGCAAGACTCAATGAGTCCTTTGAGCTGAGGCAGAGCCTCAGCTTTCCTACTGTACGATGGGATGGTCTCTCCCACTTTTGGTTTGGTTTTCCAATATCCAGTGAGTACCTTCTGTGTGCCTAGCCCTCTGGCCCTCTTCTTGCGAGGAGGAAACAGACAGAAGCCACTCAAGAGTGATGTCATTTGTGATGGAGGGAAGCCCTGGGGCTATGGGAACACAGTGAAGTCAGGGGAGGCTTCCAAGAAGAGGTCTCATCCGCACTGACCTTTGAAGAATGAGACTCTTCTTAGTTTGTCTTCTGCTCACCGAACCAGGACAGAGGGCACATGGAGTAGATGTTGCCGTAGAGGTCAAGCAGCTCTGCTTCACCGAGGGCTCAGGTGTATGAGGAGCAGGGTAGAGGGGGGAGCATTGTTTCCTGCACAGCCACACACACTCCACCTGCCTCCACAGCTGCTTGCTGCCTTGCTCCAAACCCTGTACGTATGTGGGACCTTGAAGGGGCTTTCCAGGGAAAGCCTAGGGAATTGTTTTTTCATTAAATTTAAGCCATTAACATTTATTGAGCACTTATTGTGTGCCCTGATGGTAACTGGAAAAGGGTGATATACAGTAGGTTTAAACAGGATCAATAATTGTTTTGGGAAAAAGAAGACTTCAATATGCTTGGAGAGTGTTGAGAGAGGCTGGTGGAAGAAGACGAGGAGGGTGTTGTGGGTAAAAGGGCCTTTAAAGGTGGGGGTTTTGATAGAGAGGAGCGGGGAGGGGGCATCCAGGAGAGCACAAGCCAAGGCTTGGAGGCTGGAACGTGTTTAGTTTGTTCAGGAGCAGTGAGGGGGTGGGGAGAAGAAGCCTGGAGATTTTTGTCTGGAGTCAGATCCTGAAAAGCCTTGAAGAGTGGAGTCAAGCCCCGAGCCTCAGTGCAGGGCTCAGCTCGGAGCCACCTCCTCCTGGAAGCCTTCAGACCTGAGTCTCATCTGGGCTCCTGTCGTGGCAGTGACCATTTTGTTTGTCTCGGTTCTGCCCCTGTCTGATTTGCTCTTGTTCATGGCCTGTCCGTGAGAAGTTGCCTGGAGCTTTCGATGTTCAGAAAAGGATCTGGCCCAGCCCCTCTGTCCAGCCAGTGAGCTCCTGAGGTCCAGGGCCAGGCCTTGAGGGCTGAGGGGCTCAGACCCTGTGTGTGGTTTCTGTGGGCCTGTGGTTCACTTCCCTGGTGAAGCTGGAGCAAGGTAGTATCACTGGGCCCCAAATTCCAGAGAGTCCAGTCAGTTGATTAAAAAGGGAAGGAAATTGAGCTGCAGTCCAGAGAGGAAATCCAGGTCAAGAGCCTAAAACCAGAAACATCTTATTCCAGGCCCTACCCCGCCACATGGAATATGTTACCAATGGCCTTGGTGAATGCAGGTCTGGCATCTCCGGGCCTGGTTCATCTCTGGTTTGGACCCAGGAGGGCTCTGAGATTGGAGTGGCGGGTGGGAAGAGAGGCCAGGGCAGGGGGCAGCCCCTCAGCCCCATCTCAGCCCTCGCCAGCCCCCCGGCTCCCTGGTTTCAACTTCTCCAGGGTTCGGCTCACGGTGGACAGGCTGCTGCGGGCTCCTGGGGGAGAGACCAGGACAGGGCTGCCTGAGTAGACAGATCCTGGGTAAGAGCCAGTCAGAGGGACCCGGGGGCAGAGCGGGATAGAATGGGAAAGAGCGTCTCGGGGGGCAGTTCCAGCCCAGTTGAAAGAGGCATGGCTGGTCAGAATGGCCCTTCAAGAGGACAGCAGCGTAGTGTGGGGTTAGAGGCAGGGCTCGGGCTGAAGGCCTGGATTCTGGCCCCACTATTTCCTAGCTGTGTTACTTAATCTTCTTGTGCCTCAGTTGTCCCATATATAAAGTGGGGCTAATTATAGTCCCTGCCTCACAGGGTTGTTCTGAGAATGGAACAAACTAACATATATAAAGTGCTTGGAACAGTGTCTGGAATAATGGGACCTTTTGCTGAGTATCAGGCATCCTACCTCTGGCACAGACACTGGGGACTTGGGATCATCTTTGAGAAACTCTTGCTCTGGAATTTTCTAGCATGTGGGATGGAGGAGGAGGGAGATGCCCAATTTCAGGCACCAGCTCTGAGAGGTGGACTCCACAGTGGGAGAGGAGAGTGAGGAAAGAACTCAGTGTAGGACCGAGGGCAGGGGCAGTGCTGTGCGCTGTCCCAGTGTCTGTGCCGGGCCCAGCAGAGGGATCCTGTGGACAGGAGGAACAGCTCATCTGGGAGCACAAAGGGCTTTGACTAAGCTCATGGAAGAACTACCCAGCTCTGCTGCCTCCCTGTGATTGGGGGAGTCCCTTCTGCATATCCCCCAAGGCTGTTCCTGGGTCCCACAGAGCTGCTCACCCAGAAGGAAGATGGAAGATGGACCTGGGAATGTCTGGAACTTACCCTCTTTATTGCTGTTGGTGCTGGATATTCCCTCCCCATGGTCTGGTCCTGGCTGAGGATGGATTCTCAGGCTCCCTGTAGGATGAGACCACCCCAAGGTCCCTGGTTACCAAGTCATCCTCAAATCAAGTCCAGCTTTGGGAAGGGAAGTCCTTCCTGTTGTCTAATCTCCATCCCTGCTGCTGTCTTTGCTCCAGTGCACTCCTTTAAGTCTCCCGTATGATCTGGGCTGATTTGAGGAGGGAGGGATGAAGGAGAAGATGGCAGATTTTTCAAGGAAGTGGGGGTCTTGGGGAGAACTAGGGATATGTAGCCCCACAGGATTGATGGAAATAGGAGCATCGATGTGGGGAGCTGAGATGAGGTGGGAGTTATACAAGGGTTCTAAGGTCTTAGGGGAAGTAGGAGGGTCTTTATGGGGGTTCAGGGATGAAGTTGGGTTATCTGGAGATCTTGGAACCTTTGAGGGAGATGGGGAATCTGTCAGGGGAGATGGGAGTTCAGGTGCTCTGAGCTGGTTCGGGCACTTTTGTGGCAGGCTGGAATATGCTGTACTGTAGTCATGGCAATGCCTGGACCACACACACACACACACACACACACACACACACACACACAGACAACTCTAGCACACACACACACACACACACACACACACACACACACACACACCCCAGCAACTCTAGCACACAGCCAGGACCAGTTACAGACGTGGGCTGGGCAGCACTGCACAGTGGGCCTCAGACTTAAACACAGTGTCTCACACAGTCCTTGGCAGAGGGATGTGCTGGGGGCTGGAGAGAGGACTCACCTATTGTAGGTAGGATGTGGTCCAGGTTGAACCGAGCCTTCAGGAAGGGGTAGGCCAAGATGAGGAGCCCTGAGAAGAGAAACCCAGAGGGGTTCTGTGATGGGGAGGGGGCCTGTTTAGTTTCAGCTGCGTGAGCCTGGGTGTGCACAGGAGGAGCATGAGTGGGCAGGGTTGGGGCTGTGGGTGTGTGCATGGGGCAGTTCCCTCACACCCAGCCCCAGGAGGGGACGGGAGCAGTGCCTTTGGGGAAGGGGCCATAGGCTGTGAAGGCCCAGGCTCCTGGCTCCACCCTGCCTGGGTGATGAGCAGGTTGACTTTCTTCCTTCTCAGCTGGCTGGAAACGGGCCCACTGACACCCTCAACCGACTCTCCATTGCCCCACCATCCCCTAGGGCCCCCAGGTCAGGTCTAGGGGGCTCCTTAGCATGTTCCTTTTCACCTAGAAGAGCAGGTCCTGCCCTGCTTACTCCCAAGGGTCTGTGGCCCTTGGCCTCAGTTCTCAGGTAGATGCCCAGAGCCCACCAGCCTTGTGCTTCTGGTTCTGCCTGTGGCCCGGGGTGGTGGAGTGGGGTGAGGGATGGTACCCAGCACCACTGTGGGGATATCAGTGGGACTGGCCCTGAAAGACAGATGGACAGATGCCTAGACAGACAGATCTGCTGCTGAGACATGCAGGGAAAGAAAAGGAAACCCCTTGTCTGAGCTGGATCCTGTCTTGGTTCAAGGAGGGCCCCACAGGGAACTCTGTCCTCCTCTACCTGCCTCCCCATCAATTTGGCCCCAACAGGCTTATGAGTCTCATCACTAACCCAAGAGCCCAGGGCTTGGGACTGGAGAGGCAGAGCTGGAGTAGCCCAAGAGGAGTGGTTGCCATCTCCCTCCTCCACATCCCCTCACCCCTGCAGTCAGTGCGGGATTCTCACTACAAGCTGTCTCTTGCTTGCTGTACCCCAATGGCTGCCTTGCTCACATCTCCAGCTTCCATCCCCTCAATCAATTACTGTTGACCCAGCTCTTCCCTCTTTTTCTCATTCACCAGACCATGGCCCTGACTCCCTCTCCAAGCCCAGCAGCTGCTCACCCAGACTGGCGGCGCCAATAAAGATACCACCCATGGCAGCTGCAGCTTTGGACACGGAGACACCAATGATGATGCTGCCGGCCACCAGGCTGAGGGCCACACAGGCCAGCTGCAGGCAGCGGAAGTCTCTGCTGCTGATGGGTATGTCCATGCAGGTCTCCCCAGGCACTGACTCCAGCCAGCGGAGCCTGTCTCCAGAAAAGCCCTGAAGGTCTCTGTCCTCTTGGATGTCTCCTTGTTGGAGCTCCACCTGTGGCGAGGGAGTTTCTGGGCAGTAAGATCCCAGGCTGGTAACCCTGGGATTTATCTGCAACCCTATCCCAGAGCTGTCTTAGGGGCCCCCTGCCCTACCTTGACCTAGGATCCCTGCCAAGTCACCGCAGCTTACTCTTCCTCCCCTAAAGGCCCCCGAAGCTGGGAGCCACCCTTGGGACTCCTGCCTGGCCACATCCTGCCTTGGCTGCCAGAGTTCTGGAGCGCTGGGCCTGCCCTCCTGGGGTCCTCCCCTGCCAGCCTCCTCTCAGCCTGAGCTCCCCTGCCCGGGACATCTTGCCCCAGCTCCCTGGAGCCTGCTCTGCTGCCACTGAGCCTTAGCCTATTAAAGTTTAAAGCAATGGGGGAGGTTGGTCCAGAGGACACAGCTTCCTTAGAGATGTAGGCAGCGGGAGGTGCTGAGTTATTCATGAGGTTGCAATGTGAGCTGCTGCCTGGGTCCCAGAGGCCCACTAGGGCCGTCAGCCCAGGTTCCACTGTTGGTCCTGCAGTGGGGTGGGCAGGATGAACTGGTGGCTTCACATGGGGTTTGGCAGCCAGAGGTGTGAGGAGCCTCCCTGGCCATGTGCTCAGGACCCACTCTGCTGTTCCTTCAGTCGGAGGTGCACCTGGGACCTCTGCCTGAGGACACGGAGGCAGAGGCATGGACGGAGACTTGGACGAGGCTCAAGAGACAGGAAGAGCGACTGGGACAGGAGGAGGTGGGGGGAGGTGTCCTTCCAAGTCCCCTCTCTAACCTGCCTCTCTCTCCCCCTCTCCCTGTCCCATCAACCTCTGGGTTCCCAGGCAGGACCGAGGGGTCCTAGTTTGAGGATGATCTCAGGTGATCCTCTTCTTCTCAGGTAGGCTTGGTGCCCACCCCCCTTTTAGCTGCCAGTGCACTGAGAGGTGAGCCCTTCTCGCAACCCTGGGATCCCTGGCGGGAGGCTAACAGGGAAGAGCAGTGGTGGGGGTGGGCAGGGGTAGGAGAAAACACTTGCAGGTAGGGGGCTAGGGTTGGGAAGAGGAATTGGCAGGGCCTGGGTGTCAGCAGTTGGGTCCAGGAGGCTGGGACATAGCTGGCACCTCCTGACCTCTGGGCTGAGCTCTGCCCAGCCTATGTGACCTACTTACAGGCTCCACCAACTCAAGGCCGGGCAGTGGTAACCTAGCCCAGCCCAGCGCAGCCCCATCCTGCACCACAGTCCCAGCCCCTGTCACTCGTTGCCTTCTCTGCCTTGTATGGGTCAGCACAGTTCCCAGCACTCCATCACCAGCTCCACTGGCCTCTCCGCGGATCTCCTGCCTCTCCCTCTACGTCTGCTGTCCGACACAGCCAGGCCCGAGGCCTTCTGACTCCACCTGCCCCCATGGCTGACCCTGTGCCTGCCCCCCTCTTCTAGTCCGCAGCCCTTCTGTGGTGTGTGCGCCTGGCCCCGGCCATCTGTTGAGCCCTCATCCTGCAGGACCCTGGTCGGGCAGCTCTAACTCTGTGGAGCAGTTCCTAATGGCACCTGAGCGGCCATGTCTCCACACCAAAGTGCTGCTGCCTGTCCCTGTTCTGTCTCCCCTGGAGATGAGCTGCTCAGTCAGGTTCAGGGAGTGAGTTCCACACAAGACAGAGCTCAGGGAGGGCCTGCATGACCACCTCAGGCTGGCAAAGAGGAGGGCTGTAGGCACCACGGGACCTCTGTCTCTCATGAGAGGCTTTCCTTGGGTGGGGCCAGGGGCCTGGGAAGGCCAGGGTCACCTAACTGAACTTCAGCTGGAGGTAGGCACTGCCAGGAAGCTGGAGTGAGGCCTGGGTGGGGACAGGTGTGAACTCAAAGGTGTGGAGAGAGGAGGGGTGACTGCAGAGCACCGATGGGCCCCCTAAGAGGAAGGCCCTGAGGTGGGCATCCCCAGCCACGGCCACCACTGCCAGCATCCCCTGTGCCTTTCCGAAGGATGAGGTCTGATTATTCCTCTAATTAGGCATCAAATGACAGTCTGTCTCACTGTCACACATAATTGATCCCCCACTGACTAGTTTTAGAAGGAGCCATCATAATAATTGTCCATGAAAATGTGTTCCTGAGACGGCAAGCTTTGGGAATTGGAACACCCTCCTCAGTGCCCCTGGCCCCCAGTAAGTGTCCGTGTCCTCTGGCTGGGCAGGTCCTGTGCCTGCTCCTCTCCTGCTGTAAGGCTGGGGGCACTCCCACCCCATCAGCAAGACGGAGGCTCTCGGCCACGTCTCTGAGGTGAGAACCTCGCACTGTGGGCCTCACTTCGCTCACCTGGTGAATTGGGATGGGGATGGCTGGGGCTGGAGTCAGGGGTGCCTGTGCATCATGAGTTTCAGATTCCAGAACACTCTGCCCTCTAAAAATTGGAGACAAATTCTAAATTAGAGTTTTTCTTTGACATTGTAAATCCCTCAGGGCACAAAGGCACAGCAGAAAATGTGGAGGAGAGACACATTAAGCTATGATCAGTTACAAATTCATAGAAACACAGAACTTCCCAGCTCCTTTCCAGAACAGATGGGGAAACCGAGCATGGGAGGTGGGATGACTGCCCCAGAGCCCTGAATGGAACCCAGTGTCCAGAGTCCCTGCTCAGCTGGGAAGTACTCTAGCAGTCTTACTTGAAGTGGGAGGAACTGGCAACCCCATCATCAGGGGGAGACACTGTGTTCTGAAGAATCAGTTAAGGCCTGTGTCTTTCCTTCATGACAGGAGTGTCACTAAAGGCTACTGGAAACTTGTGACGCCTGCTCCTCTGTTGATTACGGAGACTTGCCAATTCTTTCCTCAATATCAGTCATGTCAGCTCTGAAAAAGAAAGTGCAGGCTTGTCCTTGGATGATGCACCAGCTCTAACAGGTAAATGAGATGGGAGCCCAGGGCTCTAGAGCTCGACCACCCCACCTTTCCCTACCCCACAAGCATCAGAGCCTTCCTCGCTGAAGCCTGGGACCTCCAGGTCCCTAGACCCAGTGTGGCTGGGCCACGGGTCACCACTGAATTCTGTCACAAAATCTCTGTCTCATTGTGGGGGCCAGGGCTGGAGGGTGCCTGCCTATGTTCTTTCCTTCCTGGAAGCACCAAGTCCAAGGGTGGCATGGTGCGGGAGGAAGAGTGGGCGAAAGGCCTCAGCTTGGTTTAGTTCTGTTTATTTTCCTTGAGGGGTGAGGACCCTGGAAAAGAGCGTGATTAATTCACTGATCCCCTGAGGGATGGGCAGCTTTCCCAGACTGTTTGGAAGCTGAAGTCGGGGAAGTGGCTTCCAAGGCAACTGCTACCATGGCAACAAGAGTGCCAGCCGTGGGGGACCATGCTTCTCGCTGCTCCCCTCCAGACCTCAGCAGCTGGAGCAGTTGGCATGGGACCAGGGCACTGCTGTTGGCGGAGCTGGATCCGGTGAGGGGCAGTTGGCCCGGAGGGAGGAGGAGCCCTCAGAGCTCAGGCAGGTGGACACCCAGAGGAAGAAAGACTCAATCCCTGTGCCCAGGCCCCCAGACAGAGCTCAGACAGTCCTCAGGGTCCCCTTGACAGGGACACTCCCGCTGGCTGGGATCAGCCTTCTCCTAAGGGCTCAAGCATGAGCCCTAGAGCTGAGGTACTAACTGCCACAGCCCCAGGTCCCAGAGCCGCCTCCAGCGTGTCTGCTATATCCACCTCTGCCCAGTAGAGCCAGGCACGTGGCCTGGTCCTCAGAAAGGGCAAGGGACTTCCCAAGCTCACCTACTGAACAGTGGCAGAGGAAGGACTAGAACTTGGGGCCCCTGGCCCCCAACCTGGCCCTTCCCTTGGCACCAACAGCTGCCCCTTGGGGACAGGGACCCCAGCCCAGAGGGGCAGAGCAGCCTGTCAGCAGGAGGATCCCACAAAGGGCCAGAGGCCAGGCCCGTGTAGAAAGCCCAGACCCATCTCCACCCACACAAGCCAAGGGAAGAGTTTCCTCACGGACTCTACCACTGGGGCCCAGTTGAGCAATTTTGCCCCAGGAGACAACAATAAAAATAACTCCAACCGTCACAGATAATATTTAGTCAGCACTTACTACATAGTGCTCTAAACACTTCGCATTTATTGATTTGTGACTTTCACAACAGCACCCTGAGGTAAGCACTAGTCTCTCTAGTTTTTGGTGTAAGAAACTGAGACCCTCAGAGGTTAAATAACTTACCCAAGGCCCAAGGCCAGTAAGTGGCAGAACTGGGATTTGAACGCAGGCAACATAGCTCTGGACGTCAGCTGTCTCTGGGAAGAACTCCGGTTCTATCCTCCTAGCTGTAGAGCTGTGGGCAAGCTATTTTTCCCCCCTTTCTCTGCTTGGTTTTTTATGTTAAGTGGGGTAAAACAGTACCTTACCTTAACTGACTGCTGTGAGAATTAAATGAGATAATGCCTGTAAACTTCTCAGAAAGTTTAGTAAGTGCACAGTAATGCCAGCAAAACCAAAGTAGGCACAGCATCGTTTAAGCAGAGCCGTGGAGAATGAGAGAGGTCTTGCCAGGTGGACCTTACGGGGTAGGCAGAGGGAGTGCTTGGTCCAGGAGGCCCCTGTAAGTCACATCCCTGCTGGGACAACCTGCAGGACTGACTAGGGTGGGGCTGGAGTCCAGAGACAAAACTCCCACCTTGGTTCCAAGTCCCCAGGGACAGAGAGACTTTGGGCCAAAGGGCTCAGATTCTGCAGCCCTGCTTTTCCAGCCCCTCCTACTCTGGGGAGGTGAAGAAGGGGTGTGAGGATGGTAAGGGTTACTGCAAAGGGAAGACTGTCAACAGAAAGTACGTCCTCATCAACAGGGAGGATTCGTGGGGTAGGATGGCTGGCCCAGGCCCATGACCCGCCCCCACAGCCAAGAGCCCCTGATCCCATTTCGGCTCTCTGATCTCCCAGGGAGAAACCAGTGGCACCCAATCTACTGCCCTGACACTCAGACCTCCCTCTGCCACCTCCTTGGGAATTGATAAAGGCCCTCCCCACGCAGCCCTCTGAGTCTGGTTCTGAGGATTACTGGGGCAAAGCGCTCAAAAGCCCTCTGCTTGGTGAAACACGAGGGCTGTGGATGCGAGACACTATGTTTCTTTGTTGCCAACTCTGGCTGGAAAAAGTATAGTCCTGGGCACACAACGGAGCCTCAAAAAAGGCTTAGTGCTGCTTCAGACAGAGGGGACTTTGTTCTGCTTGGGTGGGAGGACTGGGCTGGGTCCAGGGCACATGTGTTAAATTGCTTTTGAAGCCGCCTTGTGTGATGGTTGTGGACACGGCCTCTTCCCCTTGATGGTGAGATCCTAGAAGGCAGAGACTTTCTTACTTATCTCCAGGTCCTGGCACAGAAGAGGAGATTGACAAATGTTTGATGAACTTCATTTCCTCACCTAAAAAAGAGGAGCAATGCTCTCTCCTTCACTTGGTGTTACAGATCCAATGAGGTACTAATAGTTAAGAGGTCTTGACAAGGGGCAACACCCCCTCCCTTCCAAGCTGGACTCAGCCCTTCTCCAGAAGGCCCATCTCCTCCTCAGGCCTGCAGGTGAAGAAAGGACCACCAGGAAGGCCACTAGAATTTAAAATAGTTTTATTAAAATAAGCGCAATGTATAATCCCATCCTTACATTGTATAAACGTCTGACATATGCAAATTGATTTTCTTAGGTAACTAAGCAGCTCAGCTTATCTGATGCTGGATGTGCCTTCATGCTCCCAGGCAGCAAGCACCACACGGCTCAGACCAGGGAGGCCGGCCAGCCCCTAGTCCAGTTCCACATCAGGCACGGAGCTCCTTCTCACTGCCCCAGATCTGTGTCGTCCTCCACACCAGGCCCGATGGAGGAAGCAGCAGACACCCAGTCTCTAAGTCACTCATCACCTGAACAGCTTAAAACCAGTTAGAGTAATAGGAAATAGCTGATTAACACCTTTAAAATGCATAGATACTCAGAAGAGTGAGCCATAAAAGCTCTGGAAAGTCCATGGGCTCCCAGTGGGAGTTTATAAAGTCCCACCTTTGCTGGAAGAGCACGGTTAAAAAAATAAACACTTTAAAAAACAAAATAATACTGACTTCTGCAGCAATCCCAAACAAAGAAGAGGATGATAAATGAGGGACGCATTTTGGTCACGGCAAAGAAAGATTACATGCTTTTCCGTGCTACCAACTGGAAGACTGATCTGGCTTCCTGAATGCAGAAGGCTCCCTGCCCTTCCCTGAATTGAGGGGGATGGCTTCACTCAGCCAAGGGGGAGGACATCCGGAGGACAGAGGAAGGTGGAAGCACTGCCATCGGGGGTGACAGCGCACAGAGAGGGAAGAGCCTCTGTCATCTGATGCTTCTCAAGACTGGTTCCCTGAAGGCCGCAGCCCTAGCCGCCACCGCTGCCTGCCTGTGAGAGTGGGCTGGATCCTGGATTCGCAGGCAGGCGGGTGAGCAGGTGGGCAGGAGCCCAGCAAAGAGATGTCCCTGCCTCAGGCGATTATGCAAAGTGACAAGTGATTGCTTTCCTTTTCAAAGACACCCCTTTTGGAAAAAGCTTTTTCCTTGAGGACTCTGGGGAAATGGGGAGGAGGGCTAGATGGGAACCTCAGAGCCTTTGTGGATGAAAAGGCCTGGATGGAGCAGCAGAGCAGGCCCCTCACAGGTTTCTAGCAGGGTGAGGCCTGGGCAGGCCTGGGGCCTGGAGCCGGTCAGAGCGCTGTGGGTGTCGGGCAGGATTCCACGGCTCCACTGCGGTCTGCCTGGGTCAGCGCCCTCCGGCGGGCCAGGCGTGACTTGGAGGGAGGGGAAAGCTTCACAGAGCAGAGGCCCTCAGCCAGCGCCTCCGACTCCTTGACCAGTTCATTCTCCTCGTGCTGAGACAGCTGGCGGTTCAGGGCGATTGCCTCGGCTGCGAAGAGTGTCAGGTCCATTGTGCTGCTGTTTCTGCAGGGATTGGCGGTGGGGAGCACAGAAGAGAGGGAGCCAGGGCTCAGTGGGGTCTACCAGCCAGCTCAACAACCCCCCACCCCACCCCCTGTTGCTGTGGTTCTACGCTCCTACCGGATTTTTCTGCGCCAGCCCAGGATGCTCTGAAGAAGTTCTTGCATGGATTTGGAATATGACTTTACTGGGGCTGGAAAGGCTTTGAGCTTCAAGGATAGCCTCTGGACTTAATAGTTGAGACAAATGCTCCCTTCTATTCAGAGCCCCCTCCTCTGAGCTCCCAGGGCTCCTCACACAGCTCTACCAGAGGAAGGGCCACGGCACATTGAAACTCACCATGTCCATCCCTCTCCCTGGTCAGGGCAGGGGATCCAGGGGCTGTGCCTTTATGTCTGTGTCCCCAGGACCCAGCTCAAGGCCAGCATGTAACGGGCACCCTGGGTTTGCTGAATCAGTCTCTGAAGGTGGACCTGAGGTTTGGAGCCTCAAGGCATCTGGATGCAGCTCCAGAGAATCAGAGAGGAACCCAAACTGGGCTCAACTGTGTAACTCCTAGAAACTTGCCAGGAGGTAGGGTTCCAGAGGGTTTTCCACAAGGCCTTAGCCCTGGCCCTTTGGGAATAGGGCAGTGCTCACTAGGAACATGATTCAGTGTTAAGAGGCACAAGAGTCAGGCAAACCTGGGTTCCAAGTCCAACTCCCAAGGCTACTGCGTAGCCTTGAGTAAGTTAACTTGATCTCTCTATTCCTCAGTTTTCTCATCTACAAATTTATTATAAAGCTTATGGATATAACATATGTAAAACCCTTAGCACCGGGCCTGGTGGGTGTTACGTGCTTCCTATACAGTGGCCATTATTACTGTCTGTCTAATACTGTACATGACCCTTGGTCCTGCTGCCTTACGGGGCCCCAGATTCCGGCTACTTTCATCAACTGCCAGTAGTAGAAGGAAACCTCGGTCTGGGTTGTAAGTAGTGATTTCCAGTTAGGATTCATGTGGGTCCGCAAAACAGGTTTTTCTCCTGCAAACGGTATGAGGTGGGATCTTAAAGATGCTGGAGGGCAGGGGAAGCCATCCATGTGGAAAAAGAGAGGAGAGGGAGCTAGACCTACTATAGAGGGAGGAGAGGAAGAGGAGTGAGGAGGAGGAGGAGGCCAGGAGCCCCTTCAGGAACTGGACACCTGAGCCTAGAGGTGAGCTCCCTGTCCCTCACCTCAGCCCCGCTGTGTCTGAGAGAATGGGGGAAAGTCAAGGCCAAGTAAGGATGGGCATCGGGTATGACAGGAGCATTTACCTCTGGAGGACTTGCGGCGTGGGGAGTCCCCTTTCTGGAGCTTGCTAGAATGGGAAGGACAGATGTGTGGGTAAGCACTGCTCCCTCTTCCAAGAGCTGCCCTGACCCAAGCCACAGAGTGGGCAGGTTACTGCAGGCTCTGGCCCAGCACAGGGACAGGCCACGCCTGCCTGCGGGGCCAGACCTTCCAAGGAGAGAGCAAGCAAGGTACAGCACCCCCCCCCCACCAGCTGCCTCTGCATGGAGAGCCCTCTTTTCCTGGTGGAGTCCTAATCACCCTCCAAGACCCAGCTCTAGGGTCATGTCCTCTGTGAGACATTCCCCCTTCCCTGCCAACCCCCAGCCCCTGTCCCAGGCAGAGGTGGGTCCTTGTCCTTTGGTGCCCTGAGCACTTTCGATAAGCATTTGTTACACTACCCTGTCATTTACTTCTTTGTCTCCTTCCCCCATCAGAACACAAAGATGGACTGGGTCTCACTCCTTCCACTACTACTGGTGTCTGGCACGTGGTAGGTGCTCAGTGAAGACAACTCTCAGGTGGCTGGGGATGAGCCATTCAGAGACCCTTGGACTGGGTCCCCACCTGTAACTGGGGCCAGCAACGCTTGCTTCCTTCCACTGTCAGGGCCACTGAGGCTGGCTAGGGCCTAGTAGACTAAGGACACACAGTAAATCACAGGCGGTCTGGCAGACTCCTTGAAGGGACAGAGGTCGGGTATTGTGACTAACCGAGGAGGACAGTTAAAAATGTTTTGAAGTGAAGACTTGGATCCTTCTTTTGGGGAAAACATCACTGTTCGCCTTTCAGGCAGGCTGCACCCAGACCTCAGCACTACGAGCAGGACCTATGTGCCTGCAGTGCAGCCACACAGCAAGCAGGTGGCAAGGCCTGTCTTCTGTGTGCTCTCAGCTAATGACATTTCTATATGAGGGGGATGGTGCCTCCATCTGGGCTGCTCCCTGGGCTGCTTGCCTCTGCCAACAGTGGGATGCATGGTGTGAATCTCCCAGAGGCCTCTGTCCATTCCAGAGAGGTGTGCGTCACCTACGGGGTTGGTTTGTGGCGAAGGTTAGAGCCACGTCAGTGGTATCGGGAAGGGGCTCAGTGAGGGGTTAGGTCAGGAGTCAGTTCACTCTATGTGCATGGGGACTGAAGCTGCTACATGGCTCTCTCCAGCTGAGGTCAGCCACCAGGGTGTGAGAGCTTCCTCATGGCCATGCTGCAGGCCTGAAGAGGGGACCCTCACCCCCGGGCACTTACCCCCTGCACCCATGGGTGCTGCAGAACTTGGGCGGCACTCAGTCTCTGCTTCGCGTCTCGAACCAGGAGCTTGGAGATGAGGTCTTTGGCCTCACTTGGAGATGTGTGCCCAGTCCTTGTCAGGAAACTCATACTTGCCTTCCTGGATGCTCTCAAAGAGCTTGTTCTAGGTAAAGATGATTCCTCCTGAGGCCACACCAGCCAGGGGATGGGCAGGGGTGCCTGTCATGCTCAAATCACCTGGGCCCAATCGACCTCAGCTGCAGCTGGTGGCCTAGGTATTTCCCAGACCAGTGCCCCTTCCCCAACCCCTACTCTCCCCTAAATCATCCAACCGCACAGAAGGCCCTGGGCGGGTTGGGATGGCACTGCTACTTGGAGGGCCAGGAGGGTGGCGAGTAGGATCCAGGACCCGACATGACCGGGCTCATCTCCCACCACCATCATCCTCATCCGTCCTCTTCCTTCCTCGTCAGATGCAGGTGTTTCTAACCTCCCTGTCTTTGCTTGTGCTGTTCCTTCTACTTGTATTTCTTGCCTCTCCTCCCCTGGGGCAAGACTCCTCCCCTGGATGATCACTCAGCTCAGAGATGATCTTCTCTAACAGTACTCCCCTGAACTCCTCACTGGGCTGAGCGCCTGATCATCACTGTCTCACCCGGTGGCTGCCCTTGGGCAGAGCAGGAAGGGGCACACTACATTACCTTCCATCAGGCACAACCACCAAGCCCAGTCCTGTGTGGTCTCCCACAACTTCCTGACCCCCCCTCAGCAGGCCCCGTGCTCACCTGGCACACCGTGCAGACCTCTCCCCGGTCCCAGCCACAGTCGGCCCCACAGTGACCCACGAAGGGTGGGTAGCCACTCAGCATGATGTAGAGGACCACGCCCAGGCTCCACAGGTCACAGCGCTTGTCATAAAAAGTGGCCTCATCCGTGAAGACCTCCACAACCTCAGGGGCCATGTATTCTGCAGAGCCACACTGTGGGGGCCAGGGTTGGGAGGGGGAAACAGCAAAGAAGAGAGAGGCTTAGTTACAGGGAATGGGGATGGCAAAGAGCAGATGAGACACGAGCAAGAGGATGAAGCTGCAGAGCAAGAAGCTGTCAGGGACGCCAGCCAGGGAGCTCGCCTGATACCCGCAACGCACTTAGAAAAGCTGGGCCACTGGACATCTGTAAACCAGGTCTTAACATTCCCTGTGATCCACGTGACCAGTTCCAGGTTCTCTTCTTATCTTCTCAGGTCCCTCTCCAGTAGGTGGAGACCCTTGGCTCTCTGTAAATGGCCACTCAGTGCACCAGGAACACAGCTCTGGGAGGGAGATCTAATTCCATAAAGCAAGGATTTCTCACAGTGAGGTCCTGCCAAGCTTCCCTGCTAGCTTAGAGCATGGAAGTATAACGATTTAGAATTAAGAGACTATCAAAGCTAGGAGAGCTCTTAGAACAAAGCCAGTCTCCCCACTTCTCCCTTTTATGGATGGGAAAACCAAGGACGAGAACGGGACAGCGATCTGTCCAAGTACATCGGGGGCAAACCCGGGGCAAGAATCCAGGATTCCTTCCTCCCATCCTTGGATAGAAAACTGCTGATAAAAACAAAACAAATTCTTTTTGCTACCCTCTTCATTATTTCAGGCTCACCAAGAGACAAACCTCCCCCAACACACATAACTAATTTCATAGAAAGATGGTGAGTGGAGAAAGGACATTTTCTTTGTTATTTGGCAATGAGAGTTAATGACTTTGAGAACAAGGTAGCTCAGTATAGGAGAAGCTAATACAGAAATACAGAAACATTTCTAATAATATTGCTTAGAATGAGATACGGGCATATTTAAATGCATGTCTTAAAAAAAGGTTATTAGGAAAACTCACTTATGAAGCATGCAAATCTCAAAAGAATTATAATAATTATAGTATATCCAGTATGTATAAGAGAGGTCTTAGGAAGAAATAGCTCCCAGCAGCACCATCTGGGCAAGAAATGGGAAGTGAGAGAAGCACAGGGTAACTTAGCCAGGCGCTCCCACGTACAGAGAGCCTGGACCTCTTAGTTCTTGCCAGAGACCACACAGTCCATCCTCCACCACAAGGTGGATGCGCCCTGACTCCCCAGTGGTAATGGGCGCTGTCCACACGCTCATATGTGAAAGTGTGGGCCTGGGAGTACTGTCTGTCTCCACCTGGGCCAGGAGTCAGGGCTTGGGCTGTTCTTATAGATACAATTTGTTTTCATTAGCAGTTAAGCAGGGGTGTGGTTATCAAGACAAGAAGTGAGGACATACAGCAACTTAGGCAGCAGGAAGTGGGGTAGATACACTCGGTTTTCCTTCCTTAGCCCTCTGCTCTGGTCTCCAGAGCTTTGGAGACAGGAGGTCTGGAGGGGGCACAGGTGCCCAGCCATACTTACTGGAGTGGTCAGCTCTGGTGTGGTTATGGGTGAGCAGGAGTTGTTCAATTTCACCCCACTGCCCAAGTCAAAGTCACAGATTTTCACCGGAGACACCTGAAAAGGAAAGCAGGAAGCAAAGGTTACAAACAGAAGCAACCAAAGCACATGAGGGGACAGGGTGACTATATGCGTGCCTAGTCAAGTGGTGGCCACACCGAAGCCCAGCTTTATCTGGAGGTCATGTTTCCTCTCTTTGAGTTAACTAGAAGTCACCTGAAGTTTCATCCCAAGGTGTCCTCTTGTCCATGCTCTTTCCTTATTTCCCAACTAGGAGAAAATGTGTGCGCTACATGGTGTCAGACTGTTGTGAACTTGGTATAAAACAAGGAGCAAACCTATGGAACTCTTGCCAATGGTGGATGTTGCAACGCAGAAGTTAGAGAAGTTAGTATGTATTCCCGAAAGACTCCTTGGAGCCCATTCAGGGGAGTGCAAAGGAGTTTTGCGCAAAGCCCTTGACCACCTCAGGTGGCTCAGGGTGGCTGGCTTGTTTTTGCCAGTTTGGGCCTTTGTGGGTTAAGCGCCGAAAGTCTTATGTTCCAGAAACCCCTCAGGCCGGAGCAGACCGGGATGGCTGGCCACTCTAGGTGGCATCAACATAGCTGCCCCGCCCACAAGAGCTGGATGCTGCACCTGAGACCGCAGACAGCACGCGCCACCTCTGGAGCCAGCCAGGGTGCCGCTGTGCGCATGCGAGGGGATGACCCGCACGTGGTCAAAGCAGAGCAGAGCGAGACTCAAAGTGCTGGTTTGGCGAGTCCCTGCTCAGCCCTTACCTGCTGGGTGAGCTCTTTCCTCCCTCCCTTTTCTCTCCCTTACACTCTTCTTTTTTCACTTAGCTCCCCATTTTTTGGTGGTAAAATATATATAAGTATGCCATTTTAACCGTTTTTAAGTGTACAATTCAGTAGCATCGATTACATACACACTGTTGTGCAACAATTACTAGTTTCTGTTTCCAAAACCGTCACATCATCTCAAACAGAAACTCAGCACCCATTAAGCAGTAACTTCCCATTTCCACCTCCCCAGCCTCAGTAACATCTAATCTACTTTCCGGCTCTATGTATTTACCTATTCCAGGTATTTTATATAAGTGGAATCACACAAACTTTGTCCTTTTGTGTCTGGCTTATTTCATTCAGCACACTGTTTTCAAGGTTCATCCATGTCGTAGCACGAGTCAGAACTTCATTCTGTTTTATGGCTGAACAGTATTCCACTGCATGGATATATCACATTTTGTTCACCCATTCATCTGTTGATGGACACTTGGGTTGTTTCCAGCTGTGGCTACTGGTACTAGCACTGCTATGAACATTGGTATTAAGTCTCTATTTTCAACTCTTTTGCATATATTCACAGGTGTGGAACTGCTGAATGCTATGGTGATGCTGTGTTTAGCTTTTTGAGGAGCTGCCAAACTATTTTTCATAGTGGCTGTACCATTCTATATTCCCACCAGCGATGTGCAAGAGTTATAATTTTTCCACATCCTCATCAACCCTTTTTATTTTCTATTTTTTAAATTATAACCATCCTAGATGGTGTGACGTGGTATCTCATTGTGGTTTTGATCCCCTGATGATGAAGGATGTTGAGTATCTTTTCATGTTCTTACTGGCCATCTGTATACTTCTTTGGAAGAAATGTCTATTCAAGTCCTTTTCCCATTAAGTTGTCTTTCTGATTTTAAGTTTTCGAAGTTCTTTATATATTTTGGGTATTAACCCTTATAAGATATAATTTGCAAATATTTTCTCTCATTTCTGTGGGTTTATTTTTTCCTTCACTTTCTTGATAATGTCCTTTGACGCTCAGTCTCTCTTAATTTTAGTTTTTCAACCATAAAAAGTGGCAACAAACCTGTGCCATGAAGATCAGATGAAACAAAGGACATGCGAGTACAGTGTAAACCAGACGCACTACGACAGAGCGGTTCGTTGCACCGGCGGACTCTGAGGTCAGACTACCTTGGTTTTACTCTCTACCTACTTATCAGCTGAGTGACTTTGGGCCAGTTTCTTTATCTAAGCTTCAGTATCCTCATCCATCAAATGAAGATAATAGTAGTATCTACCTCATGAGACTTTTATAAATAGTAAATAAGTGCTCAAGAAATGTTAGCCATAGTGATTACTAATAACCAGAATGATGATGATGATAAATTGAAAACTTCTATGCCAGAGCCACTGACAGGAAGTCACAAGGTCTTATTTGAGCAACTACATTAGTATCCCCCACAAAAGGGCTGTAAGTAGCAGGCTGACTCAAATGTTCACTCGCAGCCACTCCTTATCCCCTAATCCAGACCAAGACACGTGTGTCATGCATATGCACATGTACACACGTGCAGCTATGACTGTGGGCCATCAAAACCACCAGGGCCTAAACCTCTCCTAACAAAGGGTCTGTCAAATTCCCACATGCTTATGGAAATGCAAACACTTCCACTTACTATAGACTGAGTTAGAATAAAGTTTAAAATAGGTTGTATTTGTTCAACACCAAGTATAAACGTTTTCTTTTTAATGGGCGCCTTTGGAAATAAAAATGGAAGCAGAAACCCTTTCCAAAAACTTGCTTCCTAATTGGCACTTCTAGTGGTGGGTGCCAGCTGGCATATATACCACAAAACAAACATCTTTTATAGGCAGAGATCTGCTTCACATAAGACTGAGTTATTGTTTCTGACACACATCTACTGCTCTAAAGGTAGGTGCACTGGACTAAAAAACACTGCTTTTGTGTAGGTTTCATATATTTTACAAACTCTCAGGCTTAAGCCAATCACACTGTTGATAAAGAACAAGAAAGGGCCCAGGATTAAGCCCTACTTGGGATGTAAAAACACTACACATTAGGTATAACATACCCATGTGTCTATAATAATCAGTTCAACTTGGTACCTGAGGCTGAGAGAGCTGCTAATGATCTACAGAGAAAGTCTAAGGGTGGCTTCAACTGTGACATCCCAAATCAGGCCCTATATACCTTTTCTGGAGATTCACACAATATATTTTCTGGCTTCAGATCACGGTGAGCGATGCCTGAAATGACAAAGAGCAAAGTAATGGTTAACATATGCACATAATTATCAAACATTCCATACACAATTAATTTTTTCCAAATGCTGTTGTTCGCAGATTAATTCCCAATTATGGTACATTAAAAAATCAACGAGCTGCAGGAGGCAGAAGTAACCAGAGACACAAACCAAAAGCACAGTTGATTCTGCAAGTCCTTTTGAAGCAGGAGCTGTAGAAGTCTGGTTGGGATAAGCAGGGCCAAATGCATCCCAGCCAGCCTCCCTTTCAGCACTGCACTGACAACTAGGAGTAAGCCTGATATGAAGCAGAGCAAAGAGCTCTGCAAATGGCTGTGCTTGGAACAGCAATGCAGAAATAATCAGTGCCTTGTTTAAGAGCATCTCAGGGGGCTGAGACTGCTCTACCTCATTTCTTCTTGTGTGGTCAATTAAAAAAAAAGAAAAGAAAAAAAGGACTCCTTCAGTGGGACTCCCTGAATGTTCAGAGGGTCAAGTGTTAGTTAACAAATCTCCCAAAGCTTGTCCAACTCCCTTCTCACCTGTGCTCCGTGTCCAAGACAGTCTTGCCAGAAGCACAGCAAGGACTGCTGTGGCCCTAAGGTGCTGTTCTCAAGAGAAACCTCTCCTGGATCTTGGCCAGACCTCCTTGAAGGAGACTGCAGACAGCACCTTACTCTGTGGGGCATTAAAAGCTGCTGACCTGGCCGAGAAGGCAGCCGGGGGCAAACCACCTTCAAACAGGGACAAAGAACCAACTCGACCACGGTGCTCAAGCAGTGGACAAGGAACGTCCCTTTCCTCTATCCTCCTGCAGAGTGTACGGCGGTGCAGAGACAGAAGGGCTGGAAGGCTGAGCAAAAGCTAAACAGCCACTGTTTGGAAGCACCGGAAAGCAGCAGGGGATTCGCGGGCTAACAGGGAAAAGCAGAATCTGCTTCACTATCGCTTGCTGGCTGATCGGCTTCGGCTTCTTGGACAGTCCTCCAACTTCCTGGCAGGAGGCAGAGGCCGGCCCACTGGAGGCTCTTCATGAGGGAGGAAGAACCTGAGCGCCAGCAGGCTGAGCAACTTCATCAGTCACCTAATTGAATGAGAACCCAGAGCGGCTTGGTCCGGGCTGCACAAATTGAGCCGGGCTGCAGCTCGCCGCACTAAAAGTGAAAGATATTTTCCATTACAGCACGTGCTCCCACTGAAGGATCACGAGCCACACATGGAGCCTCACTCTCCAAATAGGTGCCGATGGCCCCGTTGTGCCCCGGTCTGAGAGCTGAGAGCTGGGCCATAATAATGGGCCTGCCTCGGTGAGCACAACCAGCCATTGTGAGCTGCTCCAGGTCATTTCCCAGAGGCTGAGCGGCAGTGTGTCCAGTATTTAAAAGTATGGAACTTGTTTCAGGCTGACCCATTCTTGCTCAATTCATCTTTCCAGTGTGAAGTTATTTAGAAAACAGCCAAGTTCAGCTGCAAATCGTTTTTCATCCCCTCCAACTTCTAGTCACATGGGCAGCTGGCCAGCGAGATGTTAACCAGCACTTCAGAACTCCTAAGACACCTCCAGCCTCTGTTCCCTGTAGTGCGTTCTTGTAAAAAAAAATTAAATAAATAAAAAATAAAACCGCCTTTACCCCACTCCAAGGTGTGCATCTTGTAAAAAACATGACCCAGTTTTGCAATCTACAGAGGCAGCTTGGGGAGCAGTTGTAAATCTCTGTCAGGCAGGTGTTACCTACATGCATCCCAGCTTTCAGAAACAGAACTACTGCTATTCATCATGCTGTGCAAGGTACAGACACCTCCTTCTAGGAATTTTCATCCCATGTGCAAGTCATGTCCCCAGCGTGGGCACCGTCAGCATGGAGCGCTCTCCTCAGCCACAGGAGGAAGCCAGCAGTTCGGTGAACCTCCCCTCCCGTGCACACCTCACCAGTCTGCATGGGATCCCTGGCACAGAGTGGGATGCGTGAGCAGCATGCCTGGCCGGCCAATGTCCACAAAACTGAAGGGAGCAGAGGTAAGCCTCAAATCATGAGCTCTGCCTCCACCCCACCAGGCAGGATGCTTTACTTAAAGGGGATTAATATGAGGAGTGAAAATGCCTCCTGCCTGGTCGGGGAGGAGGGTGGAGAAAATAACATTACTGGAGAACTGTGCCAGGCACTATGTCCCACTGTGTTATATGTATACAACACATACATAAGACATGAAATTATGTAAGCGAATTAATACATGCAAAAGGCCTGGAACAGTGCCTGGCACATAACAGGTGCTATATAAGTGTTAGCCCCTGCATGATGTTATTCGTCTCTCTTCATTCTCACCGTAGCTCTAGGAGGCAGGTGTTACTACTGAGGGAGCACATAGTTGGTAAAAAGTTGAAGCCAGAATTTATTTTTGCCATGGCAATGCTGTTAGGCAAATTTTTAAAATGTGTGTAATAGTCAAACATAATTATAGAAATGCAAAAACATTTAATTTGCAAAAAGATTTAATTTACTACAAAAGTTCTAGTTAAGGGATTGTAAACTGAGGTGTAATTCAAACAATAGCTATTTACCATCATGATGTTCAACAGATACCTCAAACTTACCATGGTAATAGAAAAATGCATTTTCCATTTATTGTGAACAAGTTATAAACCTACATATATACTATTTTGGGGGGAGGTAATTAGGTTTGTTTGTTTATTTAGTGGAGGTGTTGGGGATTGAACTCAGGACCTCGTGCACGCTAAGCACATAATCTACCACTGAGCTATACTCTCTACTACATATATTCCAGTTTTGAGAAAGAGAGATACAGGTAATATATTTTTAAAAATTGGGCTGAATAACACCCAAATATTTACCCTAGAATCTAGGTCATACTATGCATGAATTTTGGAATCATCAGGAAAGGAAAAGAACATCCACATACACACCACTCACACATAACTTGTTCAACATGAAATTTATTTATTTTTCCACCTTGTTCTTTCTCGTCTCCCTATCCTGCTTAATAACCCCACATCTACCCACCGTCCACACGAGAAGCCTAGGAGCCACCCTGGCCTGCCGCCTCACCCTCCTGGGTGGCCTGCCAGCTGCACCAGCTCCTGGACCAGCCTTCTACCTGGCCTGCCCATCTCCCTTGTCCTCAGAGGCGACCAGCCCAACCCACCCACCAAGGCAGGGGCCCAGCTCACCTTTGGTGTGCAGAAAGTCAAGGGCGGCGGCAACATCCCGCACCACTCGGCTGGCTTCTCGCTCGTTGAAGTGCTTCTGCTTCTGGATGTGAGCCAGGATGGAGCCTGGTGGAGGGGATACAGAGGGATGACTTTTCAGGCTCTAGTAAGTATAAGTTTTCACAGGCCAAGTTTTCACAAGTTTGGGATGGGAACATAGGCTTATTCCTCACTAAATGTCCAGCACCAAGTGTGGTACCTGGCACAGAGCAGGTACCAGCACAAAACTGGACTAAGCAACATTGGATGGCTATCTTCTATCCCTGTCTGTGATGAGCACAGAATGGAGAGAGAACAACTATTTAAGTGACCGAAAAATATAAATGCCACTGAGGCAGATTTAGCTTCTGAAATCAAAAAGAACTAAAAGTGAGTCCACATGGAATGGGGGCCTCTCTGTAGAAACTTTTCTTCCTCTGCCTCTGATCTCAGATCCAAACAAGAGCACATGCTTTCAAATGGAAATGCCACACCTTCACTGGATATGGAAAGGTCTAGAAAAAGGGAAAAAACTGCTTTCCCCCCTGAACTTTCCCGTTTATTATTGTTACTGTTGTTATTATATTATCATTTTGTTGGCAATGGCTAACATTTATTGAGCAGTTACTACATACCAAGCATTATGTGATACTCTTTAAATAGACTATTTTATCCTCACTGCAGCTGTACAAAATGTACCAAATATAGTTATCCCCATTGTGTAGTTATAGATGGGGAACCTGAAGCCAAGAATGGTTAAGTCAAGCTCACATACCAGTAGTATGTGGTGGTATCATCAGGAGTTCAGCCCTGTAAGCCTGGCCTCAGAGCCTGTGCTGGCTTCCCCTCAGCAGGACTTGTGGTCCGACTGCTGGCGGGATGGGTTGCCTTGAGCCTACTAAACACTCCCTTCACCTGCTGAATCTGGCCTGCACTCTGAGCGATGTGGTTACAGATAATTTCAGCTGCATCAAGCATCTTAGACATATAACTCACAGCGCTGGTGTCACTGGGCGGGGCGGGGCAGACACAGGCATGAACATATGGCTTGGCTCCATGTGGTCTGTGCTCACCATTGGAAGCCAGTATTTCTGAGCCAAAGGTGTCATCTCTGTGTCCTAAAAATGGCACATGTTTGCTTATTATCTCTGGTTTTTGGCATGGGGAGGGGATGGAAAATATTTCACTTGCCAGATTAAACAATCAAAGGATCCCAACGTGCTGTGGAACATTCTGAGAAAACTGGCTCCTGGCTTGGTCTCAGGCTTGCTCTACCATAGCGAGTCTCTTGTTTCCAAACTTGTTAAAAGGGAAGGTGGAGAATAACATTCTAAGCACTTCTGAGACACTTCTAAGACAGCCCCCAGCACACCCACTTGTTTTAATAACATTAACAGCTGACATCTATTGAACCCCTAGTGCCTACTGGGCACTGAGCTGAGCATTTCAATATGAATTATCTTATTTAATCTTCACAGCGTCCCAGTGAGGTGGGTGCTGTCATTATCCCTATTTACAGATGAGAATACTGTTTGGAAGGGTTATGTGGCTTGCTCAAGGTCTCACAGCTGGTAAGTGATGGAGCTCCTTTAACTCCCAAGCCCCTCCATGTAGCCCTCCACTCAGCTCCAGGCATCATCCCTAACCTTCACCTTGCAAATGTGTCCTAGGCTTGGGTGAGTGATGGGGAGGGAAAAGGCTTCTGCATGTCAGAAAAGCAACTTAAATACTTATACCGGTGGTTGTGTGTGGGTAATGGCAGTAGTGGAGATGGTCAAGAATGGCATCTTCCATCTGAAGGATGGCCCCTTGTATCCCTCCTATCCTGGTCTGTGTCCTAAGCAATGGGACCCTCCTCTCCTCTGCTGAGCCTTTCTGGACTTCACAATGTATGCAAGAACTTCCATCTCATAATTAATTTCGTTAAACAGCGAATGTGTCAAAACAACGGATTGATAAATTGATGACTAAATGTATCTGTATATGAGTCCTATTATAATGAGAAGGCATTTATAGAATGCCCACACAGGTGACATTCTAAGCTCTGCAAAATGCTAATTATCATCCTTCCCTGCGGCCTCCCTTCTCCCAAATCAAGGGCAGTTTTAAGTCCTTCATCCTTTTTATTAGCTTGACTCGTTTTAGAAGTCTCTGGGATTCATGATGGATGATCACCACCCTGGGTCATAATCGGAAGTCCAAACACATACTCAACAGTAAGTACCTCCTTGTAGTTTCTCAAAGACCAAGTAAAATCTTGTGTCATCTTCAAAGAACTCAATCAGCTCCAAAATGTTCCTTAAATAGGGAAAAATAGGAAGAAAGGGAAAATGGTATTATATATTGAAGCCTACTTACAAATATACAATGAGAAAAAAAAAAAACCCAATGCCCTGTAAAAGGGCAGAAATCAACTTGAAATCGGAATGCTTATTAAAGACCCATGTTTGAGAAGCAGCCAAAGGTGTTAGCAAGATTCAGGTCACCTTATCTTTCCATAATGTTTAGTCTCTGGTGTTTTCACCAAGTCTGTGCTGTCAAACCCCAACCCTAAAACCCACTAGGTAGAGTTATAAAAAAAGGTCCCGGTCACATTAAACTGAATAAAATCTGCAGCCGACTGGAAGCAATTGCGGCTAATAACACTGAATAGTAGGTGTGTGTCCTGGAGGCAAGCAGCAAATAATTACTTGCCCTCCCTCTTGCCCATAAATCACGGGGCAGTATTTACATTGCCTGGAGAAAATGGAAACATCTGTCAAATAGACTTGGGGCCTAACGTGGGCACCGCTAGACCCTAACTGCTAAGCGCTACTTAATGAAACGGCCGCGTTCCCGGCCACCGTAGCACTTGTGGCCTTCCCCGGTGAGCACTCTCTGTCTGCCTGAGCATTATCGTGCTCTGCCAACAAGGTCGTCTTGTAACTCAGTAGGGAAGCCACCAGCCTGGATATCGGAGGAGTTGGGGGCTTTTTTTCTTTTAAAGAACGAAATAAACCAAGTAGAGTCTGTAATGCTGAACTCAGAACCTGCAGGGCTGGAAATAAAAATCTGTCCCTCATAAAAAAATGCTGACCACTTTGGGAGACACTAGGCTTTTACTATCGAGAAGGCGTCCAAATAAGATGGTCAAAATGGCCTAATTTGAGAGAAGATTGTAGAGGCAGTGCCTGGAGTTAAATCAACAGCAGCCCCCATCCTCCAAGCTTAATGACAAAGCCATCAATATCAGCCACTGGCTCCCTGCTGACCCTGCTGTGGAGGGAGGGTGGGGGAAGCGAAGTCTTAGAGGTGACCCTGATTTAAAGCCACATTGGGAGAGCCACTCATTTGGAGCTGGTGGTGAGCAGACTAAGACCAGGCTAGAGACCACCTTGGCCCAGTTATCAAGCAAAGAGTGTTAAACGAGGTTTCAGGACCCTTAGCAGTAGCTGCACGTACATAATGATGCCAGGGACAGAAAAGGGTACAGTCTTAATAGTTCTCATCATCCTCGTCTATTAACTAGAGCAGGTCCTACAGATTTCTACTAGGCAACACTCAGTCAGCCTGCTTTCTACAGGCACTTGAAAGAACTAAAACCCCACTTTTTCCCAAGCAGCCCCTGATTCAGATTGCTCACTTGCCTGAATTCCTGATATTTCAGTATTTCAGCCTAAACCGAAGCTAGCTTCCTTGCTTCTGCAGCTGCTTCTCATCTCTCTCTCTCTCTCTTCAACATTGAAAGATATAAGGAATTATATGCCGTTGGGGTAGCCGAGTGAGATCAAATTGCTGGGGTCAGAAGATGGTATGAAATAACCTTTTCTGTGGCCAAGCATCCCCCCAGAGAAGCAGTGAGTAACCCAACACCATACTCACTTGTTTCCTTGACACTGATAGAGTGTCTCCACCTCTCGAAATACCCTACTTCGACTGTGCCCTGCTTGTTTTTCGATGATCTGTGTGAAAAATAAAATCTGTCATATACACCTACCTGGTCAAAACACTCCTCAGCAGGTGCCCTCTGGGAGAGCACAAGGCCAAAATCAGACCAAATCCAGTTTCAAGCACAAGGTGGAGCAGGCCTTGGGGACACAGGAACTGTGGTTCCATCAGTCAGCAAAGCAACAGACTGGCCCAAGAGCTTTCCAGCCAGATGGGCTCTGGCCAAGTACATTACCACCAGAGCCCATGAGGCTGCTGCCTGGCTGCCCTGAGGAAACTGAGGCAGCCAGCAAGACAAAGAGCTAGCTCTACCCAGCTCTTACCTGAAGGCATCTCTCTTTGCCTTAAGGGTAAGAATTTACCAGCTCTACTGATGGATCTTCTAGTATCGGTGGAAGAGCAAGGGCAATAAAGGGTACAGTGAAGAGGAGCCAAAGCTCCCAGGCCCAGCTCAGATGCCACTTCTGCAATTCTCCTGAGAATTTACCCTCTGGCGGGCACTGTATTAAGTCATTGAGTTACATAATCTCAGTCAATCCTTACAACACAATTCTGAAAGACAGGCAGAAGTAAAACATTTTGCCCACAGCTCTGATAAGTGGCAGGGCTGAAATTCAAGCCCAGAGCTGCCTTCAAAGCCCTCACTATCTTTTCTTGGAGAACCTAGAGGCTTTGTCTCTCCTATGATGCTGTGGGCTGCTTCCTATCCCTGGAGATGCTGGCGAGTACTGACTGAAGGAATGGTGAGCCAACTGATGAGCAGGTGGTTTGTGCAGGGACTGGCTGACTCTGAACATCTCTACAGACCCATCCAGAGCCCAGACTGTTGCAAGCAGAGCCTGTGAGCAAGTCTCCTGCAGAGCTGTCTCTGCCTTACAGTCCCATGTGCAGAGTGGGAAGATATCTGGTTCCTCCATTCCAGGACTGCTGTGAAGAACATTTCAAACTTCTCCAATATCCAGCAGCACAAACATCCACAACCAAGTGTAACTTTCCAAATAAGTCCACATCTATTAGTAACCACTGGACCTATTTTCTGAGCAGAGAAGTGCGATGCTGGGGCACAGAAGTTATTCAACTTGTTCGTTCACCAAGTAGGTCAGATCAAAGTCAGGCAGAACTTTCTAGCTGGCAACTATCCAGCAATGGCAGATTTTTCTCAGAGGAGGTAATGAGCTCCTGCTACCAGAGATTGGGGGTGGGGCAGAACATGGAAAACTAAGTAAGCAGTTACAGAGGAGGTTCAGGACCAGATCACCCTGAAACTCCATACCAACCCTGAGACTCTAGGATTCATCAATCGGTTGCTTGTAGAGAAAGTCCTAATAAAACCAAGTATTGTGGGGCCAGGCTAGGGAAGTAGCCCATCTCTAGGGAGTTTTCAAAGAACAGGAGAGACAAGAGCGACAAGAGACATGGGCAGAGCTGCTGAAACCAAAGAATTGCCAAGCCAGGGTCCAGAGTTTGACCGGAGATAACGGAGCCTGGAGGAGAGATAACTTTCAAGAAATATGTCTGTCATCCATAAATGCATTCAAACCTTTGAATGTTGATTTACATTTGTGGTTTTTACCACAGGCATTCTTTTAAAAAATTACTTATAATTTTTATTGACCTGTTTCCAAAAAAGAATCGAGCTGGTGCTCTTGCTACCATATGAAGCAGCACCCCAGCAAAAAGGAACGTGGCTTAGCAGAAGTGTTCTCCTTTATAAATCCAGCTGGGACTATGACCAGGTAGTTAAAAGAAGAAACAATTCTTTCAGGAGCCAGTTTGGCTGGGTTTGCTCAGATGAGGCAGTGCTTAGATCTGGTGGCTCAGGTAGATGATTTGAAAACTTTGGTGGGTACCAGAATCACCTGGACAGCTTGTTAAAATTTACAAAGTAGAGCCTGCGGGCAAGTCTTCTTTATGTTGCAGGTGCTGACCTCTAGTTTCTGATTCAGCAGCTCTGGGATAGGGCCAGGTGATCTGTACCTCTAACAAGGTCCCAGGCCTGCATCAGCACTGCTGGGGCAGGGATCATACTTTGAGAGGCACTGCCCTAGATCCATCTCTTCTTCCATGAAGAGTCAGCAAATGGAAGCACAGAGGGGCGAAGTGAACCACTCCAAGGTCATGCAGCTGGAAGCCACCTCTCCTGCCCCAAATCTGAGTGCCCATCCTCATTTCCAGCTACTGTACGTCACTTGCGTAGCACTTTGTCATCTGTAAAGTGCTTCTGCGTCTACCAGTTCATTTTTATCTTCATCTTCATAACGATTCCATGAGACAGGAAGGGCAGGGGTTATTATCTTCATTCTAGAGATGTGGGAACTGAGGTTCAAAGAGGTTCAGTCACTTGTCCCAAGTCAAACAGTAGTAGTTTGTCAAAACGGAGACTCAGATAGGCCTTCTAATTCCAAACCTGACTGTTCTCCGAAGTTAACTTCACTCATTAGAGACAATGTTTTACGCACTTTACATATATTAACTTATTTAATCCTCACAACAATATTATATAGGTTCTATTATTACACTCATTATATAGATGAGGAAACTGAAGGAGAGAGAGGTTAAGTAATTTGTCTAATATTACACAGCACGTAAGTAGAGAAACATAAATTAAAATCCAGTGACTACAGCTTCCATTCTTATTGAGCCACCATACTGCGGAATATACAATTTACCTGGTTTAGGACAAGCGAGGACTGACTATCTGCAAAGCAAAGCCTGGCATCCAGGGGAGACACTCACTTTGACAGCATACTCCTTGCCGCTCTGCAGGCTCACAGCACCTTGAACTTTGGCATAGGCTCCCTCTCCAAGCAGTTCAGAGGTCAGCTTGTACATATCTGGAGGTGAAATAGGTTAGAGGAAAAATGAGATGTCACCCCTTTGTAAGCTAAGATGGAAAAAAGAGCCCTGTCACTTGGCTTCCCCAGCCTGGCGGTGCGGGTGCCTGACCACTCCGAGGCACTTAGTGACGAGAGGGAAGCTGTTAGTGCTTCCAGCTGCCTGGGACCCAGCTTCACAACAACCAAGTCACACTGAAGGATCCTGTTCCTTTTTAGAGATGAGGTCGGTGAAAGGGTTCAATTTGACACATTCTTCCCAAGCACCTACTATGTGCCAGGTGGCATATTAGACTCATAGTAGGGACACAGTGAGGAATAAAGCATAGTCCCCACACTTTGAGAGTCACAATCCAGAGGGGAAGACAAACTTGTACACAAGTGACCCCAGAATAAACCAGGCAGTGGTAAGTACTGTCAGAGAGGGACAAGTGAAAAGGAGCTGGGGGGAGAGAAAGGTTAAATCTATTCAGGGAATCTGGGGAATCCTCACAGAAGGGGTGTGATATGAATGAACACCACTCATTCGTTTACTCATTTGTCGAGCCCCTACTATGTGCTCAGCTGTGTGCCAGGCACTGATGATACAAAGGGGAATAAGCATTGTTTTATTTTATGCCACACACAGTGGAAGTCACACAGTAGAAGTCACTGGAGGATTCTGAGAGGTTTCCAGAAGTCACCCACAGGAAACAGGACACAGAAGTAGGATGCAAATGGATGCCTTGAGGTTTTTGGGGTGCTGAGTCAGAGGGGTTCTAACATAGCAACAGGGCCTGGGTTGAAAGATCACTTATGTGACATCCCCGAGCTCACAAACAGCACAAACTCTGTAACCCGCTTCCAGAGGAAGCCACAGCTCCACCGTGGCTGCTGCCTCCCTTGACCTTCGGTTTTTCCCTCTCGAGGCAGCCTAGTGTTTAAACCCACAGACTGAACAGAACACTTTTAACCATGAAATTAGATTTTATCACTTTTAGTAATGAGATGTCCTATAATTGCACAAGCCATCCTTGAATAACAGGAAATACTCTCATGTTCATTGAAAGAGAAAGAATTGCTGACTTGGAAACTATTCTAAAAACCTTGGGACTTTTGTCCATTCCCCCTCTCCCCACCCCTGCTGCCATACACACACATCTACTGTTTGAGTTAAAGACAGACAAACAGACAAAACCCTACACTAAGCAACTTCTTGGTTCCATCATAGTTTGGTCTCACAGTTGCTTTTTGAAAAGCATGCTGTTGTTTTTAAGTATTTTAAATGACATGCTTCTTTCACAATGAACACATCAGTATTGGCCTTTGCACATGTCAGGATAGGTTGGTGGCTGGAGGTTCAATATCCCTGACTCACAAAGGGCTTTTTATTAGGACTACTCTACAAAATAGTCAATTCACTAGTGTGCCTGCAATGTTGGAAAGGGGGACAGTAAGGAGAAGCTATTTCAGGTCTCACAGTGAAAGAAACAAAAAGATGGAGGCTCAGTCACTCCTAGGAGTAGCTACTGATCCTTGCAGTCCTTTGCAGAAGTGTCCAGGGAGTCACTTCATCCCATCACGTGCCCAGTGATAACAGGACCAGCACTGAGCTGATGCCTCACACAGAGGGTTCAAAATATTTGATGACCCAACATTATAACCCCTGAACACAACATGCACTCTTAAGGTGGAGCCAAACTCATACAGCATAAGTCGTTGCAATCTCCAGGAGTCAATTCTCTGCCTACAGAAGATTTAAGTTTCACTTGCAGCCATGGCCCTTGGTATTCTCTCTTCCTCTTACATGGTTGTTCTACCCCTCAGTAGCCCCTCCAGGGACAGCTGAGGGAAAGATCACAACTGAAAAGGGGCTGAAACACACCAGGTGATCTTGCTTCATGTGCAACTCTGACAGGTTGGTCTTTCTGTCCCTAGACCATTCAGAGGAGGCCTGTGAAACATCTGAGGGTTTTCCCATCTCTGCATGCTCTCTCTCTTCTGTAAATTCTCTCACCCCTATTTCTCATGTCTGTCACACAGATAACCAGGAAGGTGGTTCTAAGATGATGCATCGTATGACCTACACCCATGGGCCACCAGGACGCTCCTTCCATGCCTGGGGAGCCACAGACTGAAGCTAAGAGACCTAAGAGGGTACCAACCTTCAAACTTCCCTGGTAGGGAGTCAGTGGCCCGGGCCCTCCGCTTCTTCTTCTTCCGCTTGTCACTTTCTGCAATGGTAACGGGTTCACTGCTGCCCATCTCTGGGAGAAAAGAGGAGACGTGAGGGAAATATCACTGTACGGATCAAGCTATAATCTCACCCAGAAGGAAAAACAGTGGGGGGATACCCAGGAGTTTTATACTGATGGTTTTTAAATATCTGTGAGGACTATTGATCTGTTTTGACCCAGGAGGCAAAACTAAAGGCGAAACCATTATAGGAGGTCATTAACTGTGGAAAGGAACTCAGACAGACGGGCTAGATTAAAAGAGGATAGCAGAAGCCTGCTGTAACCAAGCTCATTAGCACATGGATTTAGATCTGCCATCAAACTGTAGTCCCCAAACAGAAGAATGAATCCATTCACAGAATCCCACCTGTGACATCCTCCAGCCTCAGCACCAGAAAGGCCGGACCCAGGGAGCTAAGCAAGATGGGAGGTGGGTCTGGTACGGCAGTGGTGGTGGGGGATCTGGGATGTGGTGGTGGTGGGGATGTCCATGCAAATGAGATCACATGCTCAGTAACATCCCTGTGGGCATTCATAGTGATTCAAAAGGCCTTTAGTGGAGATTGCCTCTGTGAAGGTACAACAGGGCAGGAAGTGGGTTTGGTCCTAAAGAGGATGGTCCTAAATTACTTCATGTCCAAGGGCACAGACTTAAGTGCCTGTGAGTCCCAGAGCATACTCTCCTTCTGCAACTCCTTGTTTGAGAGGATGCAGGTAGGGTCTATTCGGAAGCCTGTAGTTAACGGGCCTACCCCAGGCTGCCGGCTGTGGTCATTTACTGCAAAAACATTATTATCTCTCGCTGGCAAGCACCTGGCTCCCCATATTAAAGGGAGGATTTGTGAGGCAGACATTCAGACATTGAGCAGATTGGGCAGGAAGGGTAGGAACAGAAATAATAAGCAGGAGCCTGAGAGGGGGAAAGAGAAAAGGAGGAATAATGAACCAGTGCCCAATCATAGTCCTGTTTCTAAGACACTCTGGTAAGGGCCTTCCCCTGTTAAAGATAAATTACTTATAGAACATGTCATGCCCTTGATCCAGAGTGGAGCCTTAATACTCTTTGCCTGCAGTTAGAAATAATAAGATTTCTCTGAAGTCTCTGGGTCTAAATCCCCACCAGGGTGATTAAACCTTTACATCCTTCTAAAATAGAGGCACTCGAGCACTGATGGGGCATACGATGTGAGAGACTTTTAGACCAACCTTCAATAAACACTGGCTCTGGGTTGCTGGATTTTTTTTTTTTTTTCTGAGAGATTTGGAAATGGAAGCTGGCTCTTTGCCCACTGAGGGGAAAGGCCCTCTCTCTTCTCCAAGGACCTTGGCTGAACACGATCAGAGAAATGGCAAGTCTGCTCAGGAAGATTGATTAGAGGTGGTATGTCTACTGTACGCTGTTCTCAGAAGCAAGTACACACAGCCATTAGGAGAAAGCACACAGAACAATGGCACGTTTCGACACCACAGTCCAGAAAGCCTGGCTAAGCAGCCAAGTGTCTGACAGCTCAACTGAGGTGCCTGCTTCCTTCCATTTTTAGGATCTGATGACAGCAGACTTTCATTTACACTTCAGAAAACAGATAAACACGTGGATAAAAGGAAAACACAGAGGATCTCAAGATATTACTGTAGCCAACAGCTTCAAGCACAAGACATATCTGGGGACTGCAACACACTATGAATTCAAAGATTGAACTTCAGCATCAACACCCAAGGGTCCACCTTCACCAAGGGAAATTAAAAGGAAAAAAGCTGCCCCACACAGTAAGAAATTCTACAGAAATAAAACATAGGGCCACTCATCTTCAGGAGCCCAGGAAGGGGGTACTGGCCATTGGGACAGCAGGCTGAGAAGGAGGGACCACTTTCCCTCTAGTCCTGCCCTTGCGTGCAGTTCAGTGGCAACCCTGTCCCCCCATCTGTCTTCTCGTGGGCACTGCGGGCCAAGTGCAGAGTGGATGGATTTGGGATTCACTTCTCTTTTTCCTTCCCCTGCCCACACTCTGAAGGAGGGCCAAAGGACAAGCAAAACAGCCCAAAGGCAGCAATGGAGAGGAGCAGCAGGAGAGCCGGCAGCGTACCGTTCACGGGGGATGCTCAGACACACTTACGACTTGAGCTCAAAAGCCCTGTTAGCTGCAATTTATACTCGGTCTTCACCGCAACAAGGCCGAGGGAGCCTCTTGTGGATGCGGCAGACCTCTGAGCATTGCTGCACACACAGCATTAGATTTTATGGCTTCGCACACAAAAAGATGGAGTACCTGGTCTATTCTGCATGGATTTCAAGGGAAGAGGGCGCGCCAGAAGGGACAAATGGTTAGCACTTTCCTTGGAAACCAAACTTGTTGTAGGAGAGTTGTTTTTGAAACTAGGAAGAAAAAATGTAGGAAGACAGTGACGTGAAAAAAACATGCTTAACATCCTTGTTTACATGGGGTAGGGGGATGGAGATGTGTAATAATCTTACCAATGGGTTGAGAGCTCTGTCTGTAGCCTGTCCTTACACTCTATTTCGTCACCGACTGTCCACTAGCAGGGTCTGTGAGACCTTCGTTTATTAGATGTGCAATCATTTGATAAAGGCTTCCTCAGGGAGCAAGGCTCCACAGTCAAGCTTGTCCTTGGCTCACCTCCTTCCCTCAGCCTAAGAACTGCTTTCAGGCATCAGGGTCCAGCTCAAAAGTACCCCCCGACCTCTCGCTTTAGAATGAGTTAAGGTTTGTGCAAACACTTTGGGAATATATGCAAATCTATGTGGTGTTACTGTACAGAACTAGAAGCTGGTGCTCCAAGCGCCCTGCCAGCAGCTGTACTAGAGCACTAGTTTCATTTGGCCTTGAGCTCTCCCCTGTGTCCTAAAGGCCAGGACTGTTGTCCAGTCACCTCTGCATCTCCTGTAAGTTATGGCGTGTGTCAGGCATGTATCAGGCATCAGAAAACATGCACTGAAACAAAATGCTATGAAAGGACGCATATGCTCGGTGTTAGCTGCAGGCCTGTCACCCAGGCCCTCTAAATACCAAGTGCACACACTGAAAGAAATGTGGACACTTTTGCCCTGCAGGCAACGTACAGTAAAACTATTCAGCCTATAAATTTCCTGATAAATTCCCTCTCAAAAAAGCCCTAGGACCCAAAAGTTTCTTAACTTTTTAGCAAGAAGCCGGGTCTTTGACACAGGACTGGGCCATGTATCTGCTATTTCAGAGGAGGGAGGGGGCACTTCTTTCATGTTTTCAGACAGACCCCAGCTGGCATGGAGACTCCCAGCACTTCCACTGCCTCCAGCCCTTGCCTGCCTCTTGGGCAAGGCTTGGGGGCCCTCCACTTGTGTATCGGCAGAGGTGGACCCGGAGAGGAAGCTCACGGCTGACGGGGAAGGCTCGTAGGCTTGGCATCAGGAGACCTAAGTGAACGCATTTCACAGGTCTGCCCCAGAGTCCAGTGTGTAGTGGGGCTGGGCGGCATTACACAGATCGCAGTGTCTCACTCAGCGAAGTAGTGAGCAGGGGAAGATCTGTGTAGTCTCCTCACCACAGTGTCATCATCATCATCAATACATGTGTTTCCATTCCTAGGCATAAGTTTATCCTGTTTCCTCCATTCAAATAAGGGTAGGGAAGCATGTTCTCCTTTCTTTGTAAAACCTGTTAGTCAACAGGTATTGATTGTGCTGGAAGTGCAGTAGGAGTTAAAGATACAGATCCAGCCACGACCTGGGTCCTGCCCGGGGAGAGGGCCTGGAGGACTTGCAGAGAAGATGAGGCGGGGCCGAGGGGCCTCTCCTGGTGGGACTACAACAGCCACAGGTATTCCTGACATGCAAATACTGATCCACTGTTTACCCCACAAGCTGACCCCAAAGGCTGCCTTCTCAAAGAACTAGGCCATTTCCCCATGAAGTCGCATGAGCCACATTACCCTCAGAGGCACCAGGTCTGTTCTCCATCTTTCAGTAAAGCCTATAGGGAACATACCAGCTCCTATGTCTGGTATGTGATATCAGTGATGATCATTCTTCCCCAGGAACATGACTTTGCTGGGTAACTCGGCTTGGCAAACTTAGCTCATGCTCCTCTCCCAACCATCCTCGAGTTCTTTTCAAGGTTGGTGATTCACTTTCCAGCCCGTGAGAGTTTGTTCCCTCGGTCACTAGTGCTTTCTAGAGAAGGAAGAGTAGTGATGGTAAGCTGATGAGGATAGTTACCAGTTCAGCTGCCTTCTCAGTCAGTGGCTGACTGAGCAACCCAACAAATGGAGAACCGAGAAAATGAAAGGAGGCTGAGGAGATGAAAGAGAAGGGGATGGACACTCCTAAGGAAGAGACCAAGACTAAGAAATCTGAGGCAGAGGAGGAGAAAGTGAGGAGGGACCTGGGGAGACTGGCCCAGGACATTCACTTCCCTGCAGCAGTAGTCCTAGGGGTTCTGGTACATACTCACACGGTGCTGACCGCATGCCAGGCAATGTTCTAAGCATTTTGCAAATGCCACATTGTACGTAGCCTAACTTATTTAGTCTTCACAACTGTATGAGGTAAGTATAATTACTGTCCACATTTTACAGATGAAGAAATTGGGTACAAGGAGATTAAGTAATTTGCCCACGATCACATAGCTAGTTTAGTGGCAGAGCTGGGATTTAAATCTAGACAGTCTGGCTCAGAATTCAAGCTTTTAACCATCACAGTATATTTAAACATTAATGCTGACAGGCAGAAGGAGATAGCCAGTCAGAGTTAGCCAGGCACCAATAAGAATGCTTTTTAATTTGGAAACCCTAGCACAGAGCTTCCCCACTGATGTTCTGTGAGATACCAATCCTCTCACCAGGCTGAACAATGTCATTTTCTCTGTGTGCTATGATGTCAAAAGGCCTAAGCAGCACTGCTCCAGCGTATGTAAATACAAGGGAATTACTACCACATTACATTATTATACTAATCCAAAATCTAATTTATCAGAAGTTTTTCCTCCTGGCTCTGAGATGGCTCTGCATTTTGTGTTCTGGACTGTTACGTAGGATGAGCCACCTGCCAGGCCAACCACGTTAATTCATGGCAGTTTTCGTATCAGGTACAAGGCTACATTAGTAGCCTGACCTATGAGATGGCTGATTTGGTTTCTGATGGCATCATTTCTATGGAGGTGACAAGGTCAAGGAAAGGACAGAAGCTAGTCAAATTTAATGCATGATGGATGAAAGAAGCCACCTGTGAAATCAGCTCGTCCTGATCAACGGACAGTCTGTGAGTGTGACTCCAAGGGGCTAACACATTTCACAGGTCTGCCCCAGAGTCTAGTGTGTAGTGGGGCTGGGAGGCATTCTATAGACTGCTGTGTCTCACTCAGCCACAGTGAAAGCAGTATGAGGCCTGCTAAGGTGCCAGCGGGGTGGTGATTCACAACAGGCCTCAAACAGGGCTGGGATGGTAATATTTCCAGAGGCAAAAGTTCTAGATTCAGGCCCATCTTTTTCCCGTTTTATGATCCTGGGACCATAAGCAGCCTTCAGAGTTGCCGCTGCATCTCCTGGTGGAAGGAATGAGAAGAGGAAAGGTGGAGCGGGTAAAGGAAGTGTGTGCTTAAGAAACAGCAAGCAGGAAAACAGAACTACCATCTGATCCAGTAATTCTACATCTGGGTATTTTTCTGAAGAAAATGAAAACATTAACCCCAAAAGATATCTGCTCTCCCATGTCCACTGCAACATTATTTATAATAGCAAAGATACAGAAATAATCTAAGTATCCACTGATGGATGAGCAGATAAAGAATGTGAGATACACACACACACACAAATGGAATATTAATCAGACATAAAAAAGAATGACATCTTGCCATTTGCAACAACATGAATGGTCCCTGAGGGTATTAAGATCAGTGAAATAAGTCAGAGAAAGACAAATATTGTATGATCCACAGGATTTCACTTACATGTAGAATCTTAAGGGAAAAAAGCTCATAGATAGAGAACAGACTGGTGATTGCCAGTGGTGGCAGGTGCTGGGGTGGGAGAAATAGGGGGTGAAAGGGGTCAAAAGTTATAAAATAAGTCATGGGATGTAGTGTACGGCATGGCAACTAGAGTTAATAATACTGTGTTGTATATTTGAAAGCTGCTAAGAGAGTAGATCTTAAAAGTTCTCATCATGCACACAAATTCTGTAACTATGTATGGTGATGGATGTTAAGGAGACTTACTGTGATGATCATCTCACAAACATCAAATCATTATGTTGTACATCTGAAACTAATATAATATTGTATGTCAACTGTACCTCAATTAAAAAACAAAGAGAAAGAAAGAAATAGCAGGCAGGAGTAAAGGACAGGATTTGTGTGAGCAGGATAGTATAAAAAGCTGAAAAAGGCAGGCTGAAGTTAGTTCACCCAAGCTTATTATTATGGCCTACAAGGCCCTCCAACATTTGGTGCCTGTCTACTTTCCAGCTCACCAACTGTCAGTCAGTCACTTTTTCAAGGAAAAATGAAAATAGTGGCTAGTTCAGCTTTCACGTTAAACAATCTCACAGGTGCTTTTCCTCGCGACAAGCGTGGTCCTTTGTGTGCAGCAGAAGGGCTTTACAAACATTTCCACAGTGCCATGCAGGATATTAAAACAATACGTACTCAAGGGTTGAGATTAAATTAGTAATTTTTATTGCTTCATCCAGGATACTTTTAAGTGAAAATGGCATTTAAAAAAAAAAAACTGCAATCACATGATGAAGAACACAACGACTAGCCCAGTTCAGTGCCACTTCCTAGATTCACGTGAAGGCACCAGCAGTTTTGCACACTGTTGCTTTGCAATGACAAACAGCATCTTGGCACTATTATGAAAATAGTTTTGACCTTGAAGATACCCTGAAAGGGTTTCAAGGGCTCCCAGGGTCTGCAGAGAACCACTGTGCCAGGCAATGGGGAGGGGCTGGGCAGGGCTAGATCTGTGCTTTAGGGCTATCAAACTAATTGTGATGGCAGAACAAACTGGAGGCAGGAGAGGGGCTGGAGGGAAGTGAGACTGTGGCAACAATGGGGAGGAAGAAAGGAAGGTGTGTCACTGAGGCAGGGATAGAAAGGAACAGAAAGAGGCGAGGGGTGTTACGGAGAGAAGGAATGAAGCCACAGAGGTAAAGCTGGTCCTGGTCCTGCCAAATGACTGGAGATGATGGAGGAGTCAAAGACCACTATCCTCCTGGAAGGAAGGCACGAGGTCTAGTTTCTCTCTATCCCAACTGCCTCGTATGGAGCCAGGCACAGAGAGGGATCTCACTGTATGTTTATTAACTAAAGTCAGGTAACCAGAAGAGCAGCAGTACCATCAAAGAAGGGGGAGAATTCAGGAAGGGAAGCCGGTTGGGTTGGAGAGCAGGGAAAGTCTGTGTCACTGGGAAGCGTCAGATGAAGGAAGGTGATAAAGCATCAAAGTATGAAAACTCACAGATCATTCTCACCCAGTCCTCATCCGAAGCAATCTACAAATGAGGTACTGTTTATACCCTGCCAGGCATGATGAAACCTCAGGTTAGTGTGTCATACAGAACACTTCAAAATGTCCTCATATATGTCACATATACTAAACAAAAACAAAAACAAAAAAAACAAACGAAAAACTTGAAAAGATACATCTCAAGCCATTAACAGAATTTCACTTCTTATACTTCCACTGTATTTGATTTTGTTTTGTTATGATATAGTTTTACCTTTATATTTTAAATAAAAGGGAGTATGTTTTACTTACTGCATGGTGTTCCTTACGACCCTCTCTGCCATTTATTCTGGTAGAAATGTGCTTCTTCCTACCCAGTAACTGCCAGGCAGCCCAGCTAATCCTAGCTGCCCAACTGAATATCAGATTCTCCCACCTGCCCCTTCCTCTGGAAATATCAGATACAGGTCTCCCTCACTTTTGGAAAGTTCATTTTATACGACTTTGCTTTTACAAAAGACCTATGTTAGTATGAACCTGTTTTCAAGAAATACGAAGATTTTCATTTTCATGAAAAAGGGCGGCAGTGAAATAGGGTGCAGCATTTGTTTTGCAGCAAACATTCTAGAGGCAGCCATGCCCGAGCAGTGAGAGTGGCACCGCCAAGCTCCTTCCCCAGGAACTACACTCAGCGTCAAGCTGCCAGGATTTGAACTGTGACTGTGAGCATCTGTGCTTGATCTCCACTTACTTTGTGCATCCGTTACTAAGATGGGTCCTAAGGTAATTGCTTTACACCACTTCAGCTTAAGAAGGCTTTCTATTTTCGGATAGCATGGGAACCTGCAATTTCAACCTGACGCAATCTAAAAGGTTCAGTGAAATGTGCAGCCAGTCGTACCTATAGGTCTGCCCAACTTTGGAAAGTGAATCCTCTGTAAACCTGAAATTCCAAATGCAATAATGCTCCTGCCAGGGGGCTGTGGTCTTCAGCTACAGGAAGTGCTTCAGCGGCCTCTGTATGTAGCAGACATTTTTCAGCTCTCCAATGGCCTCTGCTTCATCATACCTGGCATGAAAATCTTGGGAAAGCAGAAAGAGAAAGGACGTAAAAATGCTGACTCAAAAAAAAAAATGACCAGAGAAGATAAAGATCAACCTATGTTTCTCAAATCTACATGTCACACCAGTAAGTAGAGGCAATCACAGGTTTCCCCAGTCTTTAAATTCAGACATTGGAGCATTTAAAATGCTGACACAAACCATTTGAAGATTTAACAAGGGTCTGAGTAAAAGGTTTCAGACTATGCTTCCGTTGTGGGATTCCAGACCCAAAAAAGCATAACTGGACCTGGATGACAGATATGGACACCTCTGTTCACTGAAGAGCCTCAGGTGGAAGGTAAAAGCTGCCACTTCTCTGTTGTCTGTGTTTTTTAGAGATGAATGAGCTCTGGCTCCATCTCTTAGTGGTCAGGTCCAAGTCTTACAGGCAGGAGGCAGCAGAGTCAGAAAGGTAAAGCAGATGCTGAGAGCAGCAGGTGGCATGAACAGGAACAAGGTTTTATGCCAAATGCTTAACTACTGCTAGTTTTCCTCTTGATTGCTTCATTTTCTGTATGTTTACTGCTATTTTTAATCTCATGGTTCTAGTTATCACATGTCAAAGTTGATTTGCCAATGTCTCTACGAAGTGAATATGTACTTCCCCTTATCCCAGTGGAAAAGCTCTGAAAATGTGGTTTAAATCTGAATTCTGGGCTCTCGTGCCAAAATTTCTAAAATGGCTTTCTGACTGGAAGCCAGATGTGTTTCACCATTTCCTCAAATCACATGTCCCAAACTGGACTTGCCCCAATCCCTATCTACCCCCTTCTTTCTTCTTTCTCTTCTTCTCCATCAGATTATATCATCTTGCCAGTCACCCAGCCACAGAATCTTTAAATCATTTCTAATGTATCTTTTTCCTCCAACCTCATAAGCTCCAAATATTCCCACTGTCAGGCTTTTCCCTCAGCCTGGTATGTAGCTCCTTGAAAAATAACACCTATTCATCCTTCCAGGCCCATCATAAATTACTGAAAGCAGTCCCACAAATTACAGGAATAGTCCCTGACTCTTTTTTCTACTTTGTCCAGCATTTTAATTGAAACCACATCTACCATAATAATACTCAGAGCTGGCAGTACACATGCACATGTGGCTCTCCCACGAGGCCATACACTCCTCAAGGGCAAGGACAAATCTTATTCAACTTTGCACTTCCAGCACCAAAAAAAGGGAGCTCCAGTAAATATGTGAATGAATTACTCACCCACAAAATATTTCTTTATTGTTCAACAGAGAATGTTGACACACAGAATAATCCTTCCTATTGTGCTTTTTATTCTCAAACAAATCTTTATGGCCCAGTGGAACCACCTCCAGGGCCCAAAGAAGCTCTGGTTACACTCCTTCTCCTATGGCCATGGTGCTTCCAGGGACAACCCTGAACACGCTGACTTTTAACTCCTTGTCTTCAGTCTTGCTGCAGGTTGAAACTCCTTGGTCCCTTCTTGCTGCCTATAGTAGGGGGTGGCTAATTTTTTCCTGTAAAGGGCCAGACAGTCAATATTTTAGACTTGTGTGTGTCATATGTTCTCTGTCACAACTACTCAATATATTGCCTTTGCAGAGTGAAAGCAGCCAGAGATGATACATAAATGAGTGATTGTGACTATATTTCAAAAAAAACTTAATTCATGGAGGCTGAAATTTTAATTTCATATAATTTTCATGTCACAAAATATTAATTTTCTATTGAACTTTTCCCCCAGCCATTTAAAAATGTAAGAAGTATTCTTGGCTTGCAGTCCATACAAAAACAGGTGGTGAGCCCGATATGGCCTGCAGGCCCTAGAGCCAACCCCGCTTATTTCCTCTCCTCACTAGCTCCATTCCTCTACATGTGCACGCGTGCACACACACATACACACCCTCTCTGTTCATTTCTACCTCTAGGAGGCCTACAGTAAAAAACAACCTTCAGAATTCCTCTATGGACTCTGTGTTATTCTGCTGCTTGGGGCCACTCCAGGGCTGGGGAGGTAGAAAGTACATGAGCTTTTGAGCCATTAGTGCCTAGATTCAGAGTCTGGCCTTACCATGTACCAATGGGGTAGCATTGGACATAATACTTAACCTCTCTGTGCTTCACTGTCATCATCTATAAAATGGGAGCAATAACACCTACGTCACAGGGATTTTGTGAGAACTAGATGAGCTAATGCAAATCAAGTTCATGGCACAATGCCTGGCTTAGATAAGTAGGCACTCAGTAAGTTGTAATTATTATTCTAGCTTGGGATATGGCTTCCCCAGATCAGCTGTGGCCCTGGAAAGCAATCCAGCTACTCTGTAAACCAAACTGGGCAACAGGAGGGAAAAGACTGAAAGCAAAGAACAAAGGCAGATAGATAGAATTTGGAGGTTTTCAGACAGGCCCCGGAATTCTAAGTGCCTGGTTGGCCCTGATTCCTTCCAACACCATTCCAAATTCTGCTGGGCCTCTCCTCTTCCTCCTCCTCAGAAAGAACTTCTGACTCTCACACTGCCTGTATCTTCTCAGCATTCCTTACCTAATACGCAGATGAGCCCTGGAATGTTCTCCTCATTCTTATACCACCTCCTGGTAGAGGACTGGGAAAGGGTGAATGTGGCCAGACCAAGTCTACACAGACTAGCCTGTCACTTAGGTCTTATATCACCTAGGCACCCAACTCCCTCACAATTATTCATGAATTTCCTGCTGTATAGGAAATGGAATTTTTCCAGAGCTCAAGAATTAGTCTCTCTACAGAAGTTTTAGAGCAAAAAACCAAGTATAAAAAGAAGGGGTCCATCATACTACTTTTAAGACAGAAGCCATCAATGGGGGAGAGAGAAGCTTGTGACACCTCTCTCTTTGGTCCAAAAGGCCAGATTTGAGCCTGGCACTTCCTTGCTCCAACACCTCTGCTGGATATCCACTGTCTCCAGAATAACCAAGCTCATATGCTGTCACTCAGGGCTTCTGCACTCCTGCCCAGGGCACCCCTCCTGCATTATATCTTACCCTCCTCTACAGAAGTCCTGACCTACAACCCAGGCGAAATGGATAGTTTCTACATAACTGCCCTGAACAATCTCCAGCTTCCCACATGTGTGCATAATTCAATCCCAGCACCTGAAACATTTTATTATACATCTCCCCCTAGACTGTGAGCTAGGGACAGGGCATAGACTCTGTCTGATCTACCTCTGGGTCCCCTACACCTAGCACAGTGTCTGACATGGGCCAAACACTTAATAAATATTCATGAGTGAATGGAAATACCTGAAGTTATTCTGCCCTTAAACTGTTTTAGTTGGACTCTTTATTAGCAGAATAAGCACAGTCTGGGTCACTGCCAAGAAGTAGAAAGACCTAAGAGAAAGAAAAGCAGCACGACCAATGTGATCTAAGCAACGGAAAATAGGTTTTAAGAGCAAAGTAAAAGAAACCAAGGCTGTTTAGCCTGGAGAAGAGAAGAGGAGACCTAACTTGATTCTGGCTTTAAGTATACAAAAGGTTTCATGAGAAAGTCTTGATCTCACCCTCCCTTTATAATCAGAAGGAACTTTTCCATATTCATGGAAAATGGAACAAGAAAAAGTGGCTTACGTTAAGGCCAGAGGGGCTTAAGCTGGAGAGAAAGAAGAACCAAGTTAGGCACCACTTTTCCAGAGATACTGTTACTGTACTTTTTGGCAAGTGAATTGGAAGGGTTTTGCTGAGCACTTTTGTCGAAGGCTGTGCAAAAGGAAATAAATATGCTGCTCTGTTCCTGTTTGTTGTGGAGACCAGGTGGGTGAAAATACAAGTTGGGTAAGATTTTCTAATGAGCCACTGACTTTTCATTGCCCCCTCTTCCTGCAGGCACACTCTGTCATATCACACTTAGCAATCCGGTGATGGAACAATCTAGTACAGGCATACTTTGGCGATATTGCGGGTTCAGTTCCAGACTATGGCAATAAAGTGAATATCGTAATAAAACAAGTCACACAAATTTTTTGGTTTCTCAGTGCATATAAAAGTTATGCCTACACTATACAGTAGTCTGTTAAGTATGCAATAGCATTATGTCTAAAAAAAGTACATACTTTATTTAAAATTTTTTTATTGCTAAAAAATGCTAGCCATCATCTGACAACACTGGGTTGCCACAAATTTTTAATGTGTAAGAAACACAACATCTGGAAAGTGCAATAAAATGAGGTATGGCTGTATTTCAAATTTTCCTGATGGGACAGTGGAAAGAAAAAGAAGGCAACAATGTTAGAATAAGACAGTAGGGAAAATGGCCCTAAGAAATATACTTTCCACAAAAACAATACCTAACTGGATATTGATAATAATTGTTCATATTATTACTATTAAAGCTACCATTCATTGAGCACTTACTATGTGCTAAGCACTGTGCTAAGTGTTTAACATAAGCTATCTTAATCCTTATAACAATCTCATAAGGTAGGTAATATCTGTATCCCTGTTTCACAGGTGAAGAAATTAAGACCCAGGAAGCTAAAATAATTTGCCCAAGTCACACAGCTAGCAAGTGACAGAGCCAGGACTCAAAATCACGCAGTTCAACTCTAGAGTCTACACCTAACTACTGTCTCCTTTTAAGAAGGATGAGAGGCTGCAATTTAAACCCTATACTTTCTGAGTCCAGGTTCATATTCTCAGCTACTTCCTTATACTGCTCCCAGCCAGGAAGAGTAAAGCAACACAAGACATTAGGAAGAGAAGAGACCTCAGACGTGAACCAAAAATACTCCCATATTCCAAAGAATGAAGCTAAGGTCAAAGACTCATGGATGATAACGAACAGAACAAGGACTTGAATGCCAGCCTCTTGACTGCAAGTGTAGTCCTCTTTCCTCCATTATAGATTCTTGTTGAATGTGAGGGTGAGAAAATGAAGGAACAGTATGTGCCAAATAGGCTCCCTCCCCAGATACTGTTATAATGAATTGCTAATCTCACATCAGAGTCTGTGCCTGAACTATCAGGGTGCCAGCAGCCTCTGTAGACTGATTCTAAGATTCTGTTACTTAAGATGGCAACGCACTGTTTAATGGTACTACAGGAGCTGCCAAAATGCTCATATATTAAACCAATGAAGCAGTCTTAGACCAGGTAGCTTCCATACAAGATCAGTAGTCCACAGTTTAAACCTGGACTGTACTATTCCAACAGCTTCCTCGTTGATGACCCCATTCTCAGACACTCTTTGCTCCAGACTAGCCTCCATTCTGTAGCCAGAGTAAATATATCCCTAATGCTGACCTTTGGAGCCTTGCAGCATAAGGAAAAGAACATGGGTCTCTGAATCTAACACTCACAGGTCTGGACCAAGCTCTGTCACTCACTAGTTACCTGATCTTGGGTAAATCACTTTAATCATTCTGAGGTCTGGTTTCTTCATCTTTAAATTGGGTCTAAATATCTCCATATTACAGGATTGTGAGGATTAAATAAATTAGTGTGTGATGCATCTAACATACTGTTAGCCACAAAGCAGAGTAGAGACTGGATAAATGTCAGTGTTTTTCTTCCCGTACCCCTCTCTCCATTTTAGCCACAATCCACCATTTCAGCTTATTTCCCTTCCTCACCATCTCCATTCCTCTCCTGCAACACACACACACACACACACACACACACACACACACACACACACACACACACACACACTCTTTCTCTCTCTCTCTTTCTCTCTCTCCAGACCCCCGCTCAAATGGCTCCTTCTCACTTCCTCCAAGGCCCAGCATAAATCTTCCACCTTCAGGAATCCTTCCTAGACCCTCTTTGGTCATGTTGGGATTGATTTCTCCTTTTCCCAAACTCCCACTTTGTTTACATTCTTTACTACATTTACTATAGTCAGTCTGATTTCAGTTATTTATGTACTTATCTATCTTCCCAACTACACTGGAGGGAGAAGGCTCTGAGAAGACAATTACTTATAGGTGGGCAGGAAATGTGATGTTCTCCTCTGTGTGTATTTCTCAATACCAGGGTCTTGTACATAGCAAGAGCTCAATATGTGTGTATTGAATTGAATCTTTGCCACCACTGACTGGGGATCTTTACAGAAAGATCCTGGACTGAGTTTATTCTAAAACTCTGCCTTTATTGCCTGACTTGATAAATATGCAATTTTTAAAGTATACTAGCATTCCTAAACTAAAGGCCACTAATAGATTGGTTTGCTTCATTCCTTCATCCATTCTTTCAACACACTCTGACTCCTCTCGAGATATCTCTTCAGGATGCAGGGAGACATGGCCAGCAGGACGTCTCTCATTCATAGAGGTAGGGTTATCTGGAAGTAAGCTCTTTGGAGAATTGTTCCACTCTACTGGTTAGGAGATGACAGCCATTAAAATCATATAAAAAAGCAGAGTTGTGGAATCCAAAAGTAGATCTGAATGATTTCTAGCTGCCTCAGTTCCCAAGTCTACAAAATAGAGTTTTGAGATGTTACATATAAAGCACTTAAAACAGTATCTGCCACAAAGTAAGTGCCCAATACATGTTAGATATTATATTAACAATGTACTAGCCTGGAAAAAGAGTCAAGACTTTTCACTTCTAGTACTATCTCCACCACTGACTGATGTCTTGTCCAATCTTGATCAAGTCCTTTCCCTTCTGCAGGCCTTCCCCCATCTGTAAAATTGAAGTAGTACAACCAGATGGTTCCCAAGTCCCTTTTACCTTCAACTGGGTATATTTTTCTATGATCAAGAGAGTCTTCTGTTCCAGATGCTGAAGCTATTGGCAAGGAAAAATTGTAGCTGCTGGTTCCCAGAGGAGAGAGGCCAAGGCCAAGGCCAAGGGCAGGACAACTGATTAGTAAACCACCTGTGCACTTTCCCGTGTGAACTATATCACATTCAGTGCAGGTTCCTGAACGGAGCACTACCTCCTTCCAACAAAACTCACAGCAAAGGCAAGACAAGAGTCTGAAAACAATAGCAGCAACAAAGAATCCTGCCTTGTGCAGAATTCCTGCACTTTCTTGCCTTTGATGTCTGTAATTAGAGCATCGTAGATCTAAACTAGGGTTCTCCTTAGGCACAAAGAAAAGGAAGAACACACAGGCCCACTCTGAACCTGAAAGCTCATAAAACAAAGACTAAAGCGAGTAAATAAAAAATGAGACTGACTCATTCAATCACAAACACTGCAGAGGCCTACTATGTGCCAGGCAGAGGAGGGATGAAACAACACGGTCCCTTTCCACCAATGTACTCGGAGTACACATGGGGTGACATATCCCAAGGCAGACTGTGATCAGAGCTACATTCGAGGTGCAGCCTCTGTTACAGAAGATGGAAGGAGGGCAATTAATCCAGCAGGGCAATCAGAGAAGCTTCACTAACAGGTCACATGAGACACAGGCCTTGAAAGATGAGGAGGCGGAACTCTAGGAAGAGGGAATATAGGCAAAGGAGCATGGGGAACAAAGAGAGTGTCTGAAGGGAAAAAAAGCTATATTATTTTGCCTGGGGCACAGGGTGCAGGTTTGGGAGAACAAAGGGAAACAGGGCAGGAGACTAGATTATAGAGGGACTGGCCCATGACGTTGAGGAGTTCAAACTCTATATAATAGACAATGAGGCCCACCAAGGCTTCTGAGCAGAGATAATACAATACATCTCAGGAAGATCACATGGGCACCCATGAAAAGGATGCAAGAGAAATCAAATTGCTAGATTACTATGGGATCACATAACAGGAGACTACATGTGTTTTATGAGCATGTGCTGGAATCCAACAGCTCCTGTTCACAGTGCTTCTTTCTGCCATGGTTCACTTTTATGCAATATGAGTTTAAGAGGTGTTCCCTTGACAGGCCCTCTAACCATCAAAATCAGCTAGCATAACAGGCTTCCCAAAGTCGAGAACACAATTAACCCTACGGATCACAGAAAGGGAAGAGCTGATGTGGGAGAAGTTGGGGAGGGGCACCAGCTGGCCCAGCTCCACATAAAAAACCAACCCTAGATCCTCCTCTTTACATCACTTACAGCCAAGCCCTATTTAGAGGCGCTGAAAGCACTTGGGCAATGGCTGAGGATCTGGTGAACCGATATGCACGAACCATGCTGGGCACATGGGCAATTGTCAATAAGCACTGACCCAGCCTGCAAGGTCAGTTCCACCTATAAATCCCACTGAAGCTTCAAGACCTAGGTCACCTTAGCTCTTCTCCCAGGGCCTCTCTAAAGTACCGCAATCCAAAATGACTTAATTCTTAGAAATCACACCTGTTTCACACATCAAGTATTCAGCACCCATTTCATGACAGGTGCCATATTAGGTGACTCATGTAATCCTATTCAACCTTCATAATGACCCTCCTATGCCCTTTTTATATAGGAGAAATTGAAGCTATGAGAGGAGAAATGACTTGCCCAAGGACACACAGCTAGGAAGTGGCAGAGGTGAGATCTGAACCCAAGACTGCCTGACCCAAAGTCAAGCACTTCCAACACTTCTATCCTGTTCCCCTTGCTGGCCTCTGATCTGCTACTGCCCATCTGACAGGCAGCCTGGAAACTCCCTAAGGAGAGAGACCACACCTGATGCAATTTTCTCTCCCCACTGTACAACAACCCGCATATGTCAGGAACTTTTCAGTGAAAATAGTTAACTTTAAAACAGGGTAGTATACAGAAATGATAAATTCCTCACATGAAAAACTATTCATGATGTTGGACTGCCTGAGTCCAGCCATACAGCCTGATAGAGACTGAGTCTCGAAAATTGGCCCCAGGCTGAGTTCCGACCTCCGACACCTGTCACAAACCAAGCCCCGACCCCAGGCACTGGCTAAGCCCGGACCGGACACGCACGCTGTGCCCAGAGCTCATCAGAGACGGCGCCCTACTAGGTCTCAGATCGAGCCCTAAGGAGAGCCCTAAAGAAGCGTCCCCTTTGGCTGTCCACCCCCCGCAGCAGAAACGGGTCGTGACCTCGGGCCGTTCTGAAGGCCCTAACTGCTTTGTCCCGGGCACGCGATTCATTCACAGGTCCCCCCGCCCCATTTCACTGGCAGGGGTACCTCGCTGTCCGGTCTTTTCCTCAGTTGACTCCCCGCGGGGCTGGTCGCGCGCACCCCCACCTGCAGATCGCTCCACCGAGAACGCGGAAGAGGCGGTACTAGGCTCGAGGGGCGGGCCCGACCTAAGAGGGGCGTGACGGGGCGGGGCTGCGCCTGCGTCCTATGGACACGCCCAGGGAGAGGGTGGGGACGAGCTAAGAAAACTGCGCAGGCGTGGTAGGAGAGGGGGAGGGGCGGTTGCTGGAGTAGGGGGCGGGGCTCAGCTCCTTCCGACGCTGTATTTTAGGAGTGCAGGTCGGGAAGCGCCGGACTGGGGAGGCCGAGCAGGACAGGTGTAATTTTATTTACCGAGAGTCCATCCCAGGAAGGAATTTTTTAAAAAATCCCCTTTCTGTATGGGGAAATGCCGCCAGTCTCTTTTAAAACGAGAACTAATTCTGTAAAACTTCTTAAAAGATTTGGCTGTACTTTCACCATGAGAATTTCTTCCTGAGTAAAGCATTACCCCCAGTAGTTCAAAATAAAAACGTAAAAGTTCATTTCTTGGAGAAAATAAACTGCAAATAAATTAACGTTTCAACCAGTCGCCAGTCCCTCCCCCAGGCTGCAAGTATGATGAGGGAATGAGGGTGCTGACTTGGGGTTAAGTCAGGTCCTGACTCTGAGTGTGCTTCCTCCGTTGTGAAATGGAAGTAAACATCCCTTCCCTGCCTGTGTCAGTGTTGCTGTGAGGGTCTGGTGAGCAATGCTAATTAAAGAGCCTCTTGAACTCCCTTCCCATCCTGCACCTGACAAACGTTTATTCCCTTTCCCCTTCTGGGCTCAGTTTTCTCATCTGTATGATGGAAGGAGGTTTGGAACATTGGGGGACATTCAGGGATTTGCTAGATTTCCCAATCTGGATGAAGGCTGAAGAGCGTGGGGTGGGGTGGGGGGGAAGCTTCTCCCAAGCTTCTGTATTCAGTCATTCCAGAAGTCCCCTGTACGTGTTGACCTCTCCCACCATCACCTTTCAGGTCCATCCAAGCTTCAGCTCAGAGGCCATGTTGGCCTGTTCTCATCTCTGTTCCCTGAATGTCCAATAGCCAGATGATCCTGAGTCACTCAGGCCTATGTTCCAACCCAGGTTCTCAACATGGCTATTTCCCCCACATGGCAACCAGAGACGAAGGCTCTGGGGGAGCTCAGAGGAGGAAGGGCTAAAGGAAAGTCTCCCCAGATCAGATGGAGGTTTAACCATCCCTGTGACTCCCTTCAGCACACACTCCACACAGCTCCTAGGAAGTGGCAGCAGGAAACCTCAAAGAGGCTGCAGTGTTCATGGGGGCCGAGGGTAGTGGGGCATCCTTTGCTCAGGTGAATGCTCTGTCCTAAGGTGGGGAGAATGGCTTGCTTCCCTGTTCCCTGCTCCAAATATTTTTATGGATCTTGAACCAGCAGGAAAACAAAGCCTTTTGGATCCTGGCTGCTCAACGAAATTATCCCTCTACCCTCAATACATTGCCTCTCCCAGAATCCTCTCCTGCCAAGTTTTGCCCTATGGAGGTCTCTTTTCTCTGTGTCACTGAGGCCTCGGCTCTCTCTTCTATCTCCTCCTTTCTCTGTTTAGTCTTCTCCAAGCATCCCTCTCTGAATTTCTCAAAGCAGTTTTGTGAGGGCTTCCTGATGTATTCAGACATTCCCATGTGAGATGCAGGCCTTGGCCACACAGTTCTGAGATAAATCTACCCTCACATGGCATATTCTGTATGAACCCAGAGCCTTCAGTTTCTGAGATGTCCAGTAATTGAGGAGGTAGTGACTGACCTGTCATAGGAAATGTGCAAGTAGAACCACCTTTTAGGATGCTGGACTGGGGCCTCCTCTGATAAGCCAGAAGAAGAGGCAGCAGAGTGGAGGGTCCTACAGATCCTAAAGCAGTGAAAGGAGGGAGACTGGGTGCCAGGAAGGAAGCCAGGCAGCTCGCCAAAGACAAATGTGATTCAACAAGCTATTAAATGTCAAGCATTTAGAGCTGTACCTAACAGAGAGTATTAATTATTATTATTGTGAATGATCCACAGACTGTGAATAATGAAGGAGCTTAGAGATCAATGAGTCCCTCACTCCAACACCTGGTCATGAAGTAGATGGGGGTTTAGAGGGGAAAGGGGCCTGCCAGGGTACCATGGTGGCTGGGCTGGGACTAGAACCCTGGTCTCTATCTCCCAGGAGAGCCGCTACACAAAGCGAGGTAGAAGGAAGAGCTCTTGGTGGGCCTCTGCTAACTCTTAAGAATCAAGCTATTTTTCAGCTCTTGTCTGGGCAGCTAGAGGGTAAGGGGCGGTGGAATGACAGCAAGACCTGAGCTCGGAGCCACCAGCTTCTCCTGGGGAATGAGCTCAGGAGACAGCCCCATGTCCCGCCACCCCAACTTGGAGCTCTAGCCAGCACCCAACAGATGGCCTACTTTTGAGAAGGGCTTCCTCTGCTATGATTAGGGTTAGGACTCTTATTTCTGCCCTGGACCTTAACCCATTAGCCTCAATAAACCACCCAGATTAAGGGGGTGGGGTGAGAATAGCTAGTGCCAGGTGACCTGAGCTAAAACAAGGAAAGACTCTCCCAAGAGACTGAGTTCCCCACTCAGCACCAGCCCTCCCCACTCTGAGGGTCCTAGCTTAGCCCAGGAATTCTGGGTCTTGAGTTCTTAGAGCCCTGGGAAAACCTTGGTGTCTCCACCCTGTAGAGCTGGGCCAGACATGACCACACCAGCCAGCCCTCCACATGGCCCAGGATCTCAAGACAAAAGCCTCCCTGCCCCACTTTGGCCCAGTTCCTTCCACAGCCTGCCTAAGACACATGTGGCACCCAGACCACAGATTCCCACCAGGGCTTTTAGTTTGCCTCCTTTATTTTACCAAAAATAACAACAATATAATTTCCCTCTGTTTCACAAAAATAGATTCCCCCCACCCCCACCCCCCATCCCACCCACCTCAATGGTCACCACTGGCCATAGCCTAGAATCCGTTTTCCAATCCGCAGTCCTCCTTGGGGGAAGCTATGACCCCCCCTTCATGTCAGAGCTTCTGGCAAAGCTGCCAGGCCAGCGTTTCTTCTGGGAGCTTCTCTGGAGGCAGCTGTCCCAGGTCCAGCTGGCTGGCCCCAGGAGCCCCATCTGCTTCCCCAGAGAGCTGGCAGCTGCTGGGCCATGGAGAGGGGCATGATTTTGGAAGCTTGGCTCAGCAGACAACCCCAGCAGACCTGAGGGGGTGGTGGGCACTCTAGCATGAGGCTAGAAATCCTTGCTGAAAGCAGGAACAGCTGTATCCTGGAGAAGGGCGGTCAACCCCTCTGTCTACGTGCATCTCATCTCCCTGTGCAGTAATCCACAGGCTGCGGGTGGGAGTCAGGACCCCTTGGTTTCTACTCCACCTCCACAAAAGCCTTGCTGGGAGGTGCTGAACAGTCTCTCTTCCCTCTCCTCCTGGCTTCACTTTCCTTCTAGGCGCATGAATGATTCTGTGAGTGAGACTGGATGATCCTCAGGTCCCTTCTGGCTCTCCATCCTGACCTCCCAGCATGGAGCCTCTGGAGGGGAGAGCCCTGTCCCTGCCTCAGTTTCCCCACCTATGGGTCTGGGCACAGGGCTGGGCATGGAGGCGCTGAGTAATGGAGCACTGAATCAACATCCCAGTTTCTCTGCGGATAGATCTTCTCTGAGATCCAACCAGCTGGAATGTCTTAGGGATGGTTGGGAGGGAGGCAGGTAGTTGCAGGACAGGGGCTCTCTAAGCCTGGAAGGGTCCATTCAGTAGCTATGTGGTCCTCAATGCCCCAGATGGGAGACAAGGCTCCAGAGTTTCCCAATTCAAGTTCACTAGCTCCATGGGTTGGAGGATTATCTTGTGCTGGGCTTCAGATTCTCGCAACTACATCTGGAGATTAAGGGAGCTGGACTGGAGTATATGATTACTGATTTAAGGACTGGGGACCTTTGTGGACATGAGAGATCACCCCCAACACCCAGGAGGCTGTCTTTAACCAGGCCTTCCTGGAGGCAGACGGATGAGTGAAATGACAGTTCATGGGCATCCCTGGCTGAGCAAATCAGAACCTGTGCCTGAGATGAGCCAGGGCTTAAGGTACTCAGGGCAGAGTCCCCCTTCCTACCTCCCCCTACTCCCCAGAACTCATGCTGATGGAAGACGGTAGCCTGGAAGGTTCAAACATGGAGCTACATCTACAACCACATTCTGTGCACTTATACTCATGGTCAGACACACCGAATGTGGACATTGACTTGTCATCACTCCTACAGTGGTCATGATCTGATGGCCCTAATCCCTACTTCATTCCATCTATCAACTTACCTAACATTTATGGAGGGCCTAGTATGTGCCAGGAAGGGTCTAAGGCAGCTAGCTCTCACAGACACACCCCATGGTCAAAATCACACACATAGCCACATATACACACACATCATCTGTGTCCACTCACACACAGGTGGCTCACACTCTTGTACCTTTCTGGCCACCACCTCAGCCACATCTACATTCCCCAAACAGGCTTGGGAACCACCGTGGAAGGGTCAAGTATCAGAGCAGAAACCCTCTAGACTTCACGCCAGGGGTTTAGCTCCTTCTTTCCTCCTGTCTGCCCACCTTTGCACTCTCCCCTTCCCCACTCACAAGCAGTCAGGGGGACGTGTGGGCAGACTCCTGAGAACCAGAAGTCCAGGGGCTTTGGGTCTGTGGAAAGGTCCCAGGCCTTCAGGTTCCTCCGCTACCAGACTCCTGAGGGTCTCCTCCCCTGGCCATTCTGTTCAGATGGTCCATCTCATGGGCAACAAGTCCAGGCCTGGGCTCAGTGACAGATCCGCTCCGTCATTTCCCTCTGCAGAGACACAAGGTTGGGAGGGGTCAGTCAGAGCTCAACCTTCCAGGCAGCCCCTTCCCAAACCACAGGACATGGCTATTCTTCTGCCTGAGTTTGGTCCCTTCCTGTCCCCTACCTGAACTCCAGGTTGCAGATCTGGGTTTGTAAACTGACACTTGGATGAATATGCTATTCAAGTATAGAATCCATTGTTAAATGGATTGCAGCTCCCTCATATATCCTCTTGGGTACTGGATTTTCTTAAAGCACGTAGCCTTTGGATCTGAAAAGTCACAGAGGCTAGCCCTGCTCGGGAAGGGCAGTAGGGGCTTGGCCTTACCAGTGGTTCCAGCTCCCGCTGGTCCACCAGGCTGAACTCGCGGATGAAGTAGTAGAAGTGCTTGTAGCAGGTGTTGACATGTGCCTCAGCCCCCATGCTGAGGATGCTGTCGAAGTGGTGGATGTAGACGTGTACAAAGACGCGGAAGAGGCGGGTCAGGATCTTGGTGCAGACCTGCTGGAAGTTCTTGGGGAAGGGAACTCCTAGGGGGTGGGATGGGCAGAAGTGGGGCATCAGCATCCTGGTGGTGAAATTCTGCCCAACCCTGGCCTCCCACACATAGGCAGCCTTACCCAGGATGGCCTCTTCCCTAGTACTTTCCCCTGAGATCGTAGTTCGCTTTCTCCCATACTTCCCTTTTAAATAAAGCACAAATCTCACTGTGTCTCTCCTCTGCTGAAATACAAATCCTCTTCCAGATTTTCCCACCACCCTGGGCAGGACTCTGCAAACTTGTTGTTTCATAGACTATAATGGAAGTTATGCCAAAACTCTCCCCAGGAATATGTGCATCTGCAGGTGCTCTCATACCACACCCCTGGATGCAATTCCAAGGGGAGTTTGTCAGCCTCTGGGGTCCATTTTAAAAATATGGGCCTTCAAGACTGAATCCTAACTTCCCATCATGGCACCTGTTCAAGGCCTTTCAGGACCTAATTCTGACCTCCCTCTCCAGCCCCGCCTGACTCCTTCCCTTTCGCAACATTCACACAGTAGGCTCCAGACCCTAATCTTGAGGATTACTAACTCTTCAAGAACTAGTTCATATGAAAACGTATATATGTATGTATATGCATGACTGGGACATTGTGCTGTACACCAAAAACTGACACATTGTAACTGATGATACTTCAATAAAAAACAAAACAAAACTAGTTCAGGTATCTCTGTCCTTCAAAGAGTCAGTGACACTTACAAGAACATTCCATCTGTGAGCCAGGCCCTGTGCTGGGTCCCTTGCACATTTGGCCTGGTGTGGTAACGGGTAGGACAGCCAGTCTAGATATGATAAAATGGAGGTGCATAAAGGCAGAACCACTTGTCCAAGGCCACATAACTATTAATTAGTGCAGACTGGAGGCAGGATTCAAACCCTCTTTGCATAACACTGCAACACCCCTCAGAGATAAATACCACATATCCTGCCAGAGAGAAGGTCCAGGACCTGTGAAAAAGGCACAATTTCTGCATAGTCCTCCACGCTTGCGGTGGAGATCTTGGTGGTTACACCCTCTTCTCTGCTGTGGCAGAGCCAACCAGGGTTAAGACACAGACACCTGGGACCTCACCGGCTTGGGGGTTAAGTCTAGAAGGGAACAAGAACCCAGATCAGGCCCACATTGGCTTGCACGCTTGCACACTTCTCCTTCCTCACTGCTCTTGGGTGGGGCTGAGACCTGTCTCCTGGTGAGCCCTTCCAGGCCCAGCTGGGGTCCCTGAGACTTGTCCTGCCCATTTAGACTTGGGACTACGGGCCCCAAAAGACCTGAGCTGCGGTTCTGAGTCCCTCCTGATTCAGTGTACTGTCCCTCTCTTGGCCTCAGTTTCCTCCCAGGTGAAATGAAGATACCCATGTTGGGCATGAGAGTGCAGGAAATGTACCAGCTGGGGAGGGGTGTGGGCAAAGAATTGTGACTCAAAGCCCTCAGCATTCAGACTTCTCTTCTTTGAGCCTGACCACTCTGCCCCACCCATCTCTGATTCCCATAGTCTTAACACAGAGGAACAGAAGGCCAGGTGGGTGAGGCTGCTGTGATGAACAGCCTGCTCAGCTCAGCTCCTGAGCTGACATCCCTTCTCACTGCCCTTGGGTGGGGAAGCAGGGCCAGGGTGACATCACTCACCTCCCTTCCACACCTGCCCAGGCTGCCCAGCTGAGGTAAGAAAAGGCCCATGGCTTGTGCCTGACAAGGGAAAATTCTGCCTTCTGGGCCGCTTGAGGTAGAAATACCATCCAGCCCCCCAATCCTCACCCCCTTCCCTTTCCTGGGGCCAGGAGTCAGAGGGGACTCCCAGGAGACTGCAAGTCAGATCAACCCAAGGAGGGTGATTTGCTAGCAGCACCTTGATGCACTTGTTCTATAAGGTTCTGAGAATCAGAACCCTGGTCTTGCCAGAGTGGTCTCTAGAGGGACATTCAAGCTTCAGACAAAAAGAGGCCCCAAACTGGGATTCAGGCAGTGCTTGCTCAAGATGCCTGATCGTGAGCACTTAATCCCTCTGAGCCTCTGTTTCCTCTTCTACAACACTGCTGTATCATACTAAACGCCTCACCGGTGCAATGGGCTCGGCTGGCCCCCTCCCTCGGCGGCCAGGCCCACCCTGACCGCCAGGCGGCACTCACCCACGCGGGTGGGAAAGACCTCCTCGTCGTTGATGAGGCCCTCAATCCAGTCCATGAGCAATGCCATGTAGCGCGGCGCCGAGAGCTTGGCTGGCCGCCGGTACTGGCGCTCGTCCTGCCAGCGGTACTCGTAGCGGGGCCCTCCGGCCATGACCGGGCAGCTGCTCTCACTGCAGCGCTCAGCCATGGTGCCGTAGATGAGGTTGATGCGGTTGAAGAAGTCCACCACATGCACGGCGATCCAGTCATCAATGTTCTCGCCCGGCGGCAGCCTGACCACACTGCGCAGGTCCAGGCCCGACTTGAGCGAAGCCTGCGCCTTCTTGTACAGCTCAAAGCGCTGTGTGCCCGGCTCGAAGCGCTTCCGCGGCCTGAACGTCTTGTCCTTGGCGAACACCTGCTTCAGGCACAGTGCCATGGCCAGCCGGGGTCCAGCGCCAGATGTCCGGGGGCAGGACCTGCAGATGCCCTGCCAGGGCCAAGGGCATGGGGGAGCACAGTGGTCAGCTCCTTACCAAATAGCCTCACTTCCCAGCACATCGTTTCCCTCTCACCTGTCAGCTTTTGGCCAACCTCTGCAGCCTCCGCCTGGAAGCTAAATCCTCCTCACCCCTCTGCCCAGTGCCAGGCCCCATTTCCAGGCTGCCATAGCTCCCCTTGCCGAGCTCCAGAGCCCTTCCATCTTGTTTTGTTTCCTTTCCACTTTCATTGTGTCTCAGAGAGGACTGGGCCTGGGCTCCAAGCAAGTGCTCCTCAGACATGCTGTGGACCATAAAGGGAGGTGGCAGAGGCTTCCTGTAGGCCCAACAGGAGGCAGGGGTCTGGATGAGGTGACCTCTTGGGGGAGTCCCATGGGCCAGCTGGTGCAGCATGGGAGAGCCTGGCTGCATTGTGCTGGGGGAAGGGAAGGGCCCCCCTGCCTGTGGCTTCCTCTGGGATATCCCGTAGTCCATCCGGCCACCGGGGATTCCCAGGGAGCAGGAGGGACTTTTCTACCAAAAATGTCCTTTCCTTGTATTACTCTGAAAAGGGAAAGAGCCCTCATATGGTCAGCTGGGTGACCTCTGAGTGTGGCTACAGGCGCTGGAAGAGAGGGAGAGGATGGCAGGTCTAGAAGGGCACCATTTCCTCCAGCAATGACTAGAGATCCTGCCTTCCAAGCCAGCCTCCTCCAGCCTATAACCCAAACCCAAACACCAAACCTGAACAAGCTACTGGCCCCTCCCATTGCACCTGATATTCAGTAGATATTCTTAGAACACCTCTATTTGCCTGGCACTGGGAGATGGGAAAATGCAGTCACATCACCCAGCTGGGCCCATCCAGAATTCAGAAGAATTTGCTTTGCCTCTCATAACTGAAGGATCTCAGATTCAGAACAGACTTTGGGGACAGTGATAAGAGCCCCAGGCTTAGAGGCAGGAGACCTGGGTTCTGGTCTCATCCATGGCCGCTGGGTGACCCCTGGAGCAGGCATGGATTTGGCCCATGCAACGTCCTGGGTCACTTATAGGCCAAGTTTTTGGGACTTCCAGGGTAGTCATCTAATTCCCCCTGTGAGTATGTGAGCTCTTGGGAAATACAGACCCAGGTACCCACTGGAATTTAGCCAAGTACTGCCCCTGACCCCAGACTGAGCACTGAGCTTTGGCTCTAGGGTGAACTCTGACTCGGTCATGACCCTGGTCCATTTGAGCCCTGGACTCTAACCCTTACTGAGACTTAAATACAGACACAAAGCCTGGCCTTGACCTCAGAGCTGACACTGGGGTATTTTCCTTTCTCACATCTCTAGTAACACTGGGACAGGTTTGGGGAATGGAGGGTGGGAACAAGGTGACAACTGGGTGTTGTAACCAAAGGCACAGCACATGTGGATAGTCATGTCAGACAACAAGTCAAGCTAGTGGAGAAGTCTGGAACAAGGGTTCTTCCTTGTACATATAACACGCAGGCCAGGAGGGTGAAGTTAAGCAAAATGAGAGAAGTTTGGAGAGTAGAGGCAGGCCTCCCAGCAGGACCTTGTCCTCCTGAGAAAAAAACCTCAAAGATGTGGCAGGTCACCTCATACACCCCCAGCCCCTCGACTTCTTGTCCAAACAAGTCCCCAGTGTGAGACCTGAACTTCCTGATCCAAGAGAAGAGTTCCACACTTCACTTGCCTCCTGCATTCTAAACTCTGCTTGGGGCAGGTGCTTCCGGAATCACTGACACTGCAATTCTGTAGGGTCCCTCGGATCTCTACCTTTGCACAGACCCCCTTACTAACAGCTACCAGCAGACCCTCACCCTGGTATTCAACACCTCACCCTAGCTTTCCTGCTTCACTTCCCTAAACCTACCACCCTGGCCTTCTTCCTGACCCCCTAAACACGCCCCTCATTCTCTTGCCCCTGTGTATTTTCTTACACCGGCCCCTGGCCTGACTACACATGATCAGGTTGAATGCTACCTCCTTCCACAGCCCTCTCTACTGAACCCAGATCTCTTTGTCCTTGGGTGGAGGCTGCTCTTTGGCCACTGCTGTCCCCCACCTGCCCCACCCCCCAGCCTAGGTCAGGGTCTGGCACATAGTCAATGCTCAGGCTTTAAGGAAAGCTCTGAATCAAGAATCGTAGGATTGAAACAACTCTGAGAAATCAACTGGCCCAACCCACTTCTTGTACAGATGGGGAAACTGAGGCCCAGCAAGGGGACTTCAGGAGCCTGTGTTCACGTAGCAAGTCATAGGCAGGGGATCTCCAGTGGCAGAGCTGGACACTGGGATAAGGAGGGGCGTGACAACGAGTAAAGGACCATTTTCCTGCCCTGGCTGATGGCTGGTCTGGTGGAGATAAGGGGAAAGAGGGAAATGGAGGGAAAGAGGAAGCATCTTCCCACCAACTAGACGGACCTAAATCCTGTTCCCTCTGCACACTGAGCCACCCCCTCACCCCACAGCAACTTGCCTGTCCTGACCAGTGAGCCAGAGTCCCACCTTCTTGCTGTAGAATTTCAAGGCTTGGGTCCTTCCCCAGGGAAATGAAAGCTTGGGGTGGGGGACAGATAGGTGCTCTTCTATCCATGCCACTCCTGTCTTCACTTCCCACTCCCATGCTCTGAGTTTCTATCTCTCACAGAATTTCAGTCCCCTCCCTGAACCATGGCCATTCCCTCTCTTAGCTCCTGTTTCCATCTGGGTGTCCTTTTACTCCTGAAGTGGCCATTGATGGCTGGCCCCCAGGGTGGGCATCTGGATTTCCCAAATGAAGACCAGAGTGGCCCTGCCTGCCTCTGACCCTCAGCCCCCTGCCAGGGTCACACCTGCCACTCCCCTAAGCCTGGCCCAGAACCTCAGCCAGGGGCTGGCCCCAGTTTGAACGGAGAATCCAGCCTAGAGTTGTGCGATGTGTGTGCGTGGTTGGGTGGGTGGGGTGGGCGGGACGGCTGAGGGCAGAGAACCAAGAGAAAAGTAGAGGCGAGGACTCTCAGCTTTTCCCAGCGGTGCTCAGACACCCACGCCGACCCCTCAGCCTCCCCCTCGATCCCCGATGCCCCTCTCTTCCCAGGCCAACTTACAGGATAGACCGGTCGTAGGACCCAGAGGAGCGGCCTGAAATTTCCGCCTCCGAAGACACGCCCTCCTCAACCAAAGCGCCCCCAACCCGTCCCCGACTTTCTAGCTCCTAGTCCCGGACCCCAGACCAAGGAGCGTGGCCAGCCTGCCTCCGGGCGCAGGTCGCCCCCGGACGGTGCCACGCCAGGACAGCTGACGAAATGAAAGTGGAAGCGAGCCTGGGCCGTGAGCGCGGGGGCCGCGGGGGCCGCGGCGCTCACTCACGGGGTCCGCCGGGTGGGTCAGCGCGAGTCCTCGTCTGGCCGCAGGTCACATCCCCATCGCGTGGTCGCCTCCTTCTACCGGCCCTCTCGCCCGTCTGCCTGCCTGCCCAGCTGGG